CCACTCATCTCAGCCTCCCAAAGGCACGGGATTACAGGCTGAGCCACTGAGCCTGGCTCAGAGATTTTTATCTAGTATCCTTTCTACATACCTCCTTTGTTAACCTGTAGCATTAATAGAGTATTAGGATCCTAGTGTCTTTCATCTTTCCATAATGAAGACAAGACTGCCATTTAACTCAAGCAAAAAATCAACCAAGTTTATTTTTATTATGGAATTTGGAGGTTCCTGTTCAAATCTTATTTACCACATATCATTTGATAATTCTGTTTAGTTCCTTGAATCTAACTTCTGACGCACACAACTGACCAGACGACGCTCCTTTATTTGACCAATGTTGTTCAAACTGCTCCAGTGATCCTTACAGGTTTTGTAGTTGTGTCTCTAAGGTCCGCTGCTGACAACAAGTTGGGAAACAGCATGAAGGCCACCAGAGCAACATGTAAAATTTGGTGTTATATGCCTCTCTTGATGCTTTACTGTGTGCCTGTGTGTGTGTTTGTGTGTGTGTGTGTGTGTGTGTGTGTGTGTGTGTGTGTGTGTAGGGGAAAGGAAGTCTAAGCAGAAGCAGACATCCTGTTTCACAGACACACACACATTCACACACACATATGTATACTCTCATTTTATCTACACAATAACCCTACTATTGTCATCTTCATTTGGCAGATGAAGAAATTGAGGTACAGAAAAATTCAACAACTAAAGTGACTCAGCTAGCAAGTGGCAGAGTTAGACTTGAAACTATGGTATTCTGATTTCTGAGCTTGCCTTCTTGATTTCCAAATTATCCTTAAGTTTATTATGTGCTAGGGACTGTACTAAGTGTTTTTTCAGCATAAATTCCTTTATTGTTCATAACTGCCCTGTATAATGGGAATTATTATGTTTCTTCTTCAAGTGAAGAAGTCTAAAGATAAAAAATCTGTCCACACTCATGAAGTGGCAGAGCTGTGTTAACACTTGGGGCTGCCTGACCAGAGTCCATTGTCATAATCCCTATGCTCTACACATCTTCCTGTGTGTGAGGACTGGCTGAACGAGTGTGCTTTCTCCTCTACTAGAGCATGAGTTTCTTGAGGAAAGACGACTGTTTCTTCTTTATCTTTGTCTTTCAGGACATTAAAAAGGTTCTAGATTCACAGTCCCTGTTCAATAAATGCCACTTGGATTGAATGGATGTCAAGATATGAAAGAGGGATAAAGGTCCTAAGAGTTTAGATCAAGAAATGAAGAGTTGAGAAGATCAGGGAACTCCAAGCCAAAGGAATGAAAGGCTGTCCTTGTAGATGTCAAAGACATAGGAAGGGCAATTAAAAATGGATACCAAAATCATTTAGGAGGGTAGGAGGTGCTGCAGTTGTTGCAAAATGCCCAGAGGCTGACTAACTGTCTGAGCAGAGGCACAGAATGGCCATAGCTCAGTGTGGTCAACATGTTTCAGTGTCAAGTCTTTTGTTTTGCTGTTCCTGAAACTTCATTTTCTCCCTATTCCCCCAAATTATTAGGTTTTCGTGCCAATAAATGAAAGGCACAAGAAAACTATTCAATAAAAAAAAATTTTTAAAGAAAACTATTCAATAACCAGAATACCATGTGATTATATACAAATAACTTTAACCAAAATTTTCTTACTTTGATTATAACAGTATGATTATCTGAGAAAGACAGGGGGCAGACTCAAAAATGCAGACATTCACTGGGCACAGTGGCTCACAACTGTAATCCCAGCACTTTGGGAGGCTGAGGTGAAAGGATTGCCTGAGTCCAGGAGTTTGAGACCAACCTGGGCAACTTAATGAGAGCTTGTCTCTACAAAAAATAAAAAAATTAGCCGATGGTGGTGGTATGCACCTGTGGTTCCAGCTACTTGGAAGGCTGAGGCAGAAGGATCTCCTGAGTCCAGCAGGTTGAGGCTGCAGTGACCATGAGTGTGCCACTGCACTCCAGCTTGGGTGACAGTATAAGACTCCTATTCAAACACACACACACACTCAAACACATACAAACACATTCACCGTGGTATCCTATCTGGAGAAAGTCTGTGTGAATAGAAGGAGAATAGTGAGTGAGACAATGAGGCAATCACAGGCTGGAAATGCCTGTCTGAGCTTGTTCAGGGGAGTCTGATCCGAGCATACTTGGCCAGGTAAATCCTGTAGTAATTGCTTATTAAGTGATAGCTGTTAAGAAGGGTGAGAATGCCCCCAGGTAGCCTTAACTGAGAAATACTTCTTGAGATTAGGTAACTCCTCTTGTTCTAACTTCATATAGAAAGCGTATATAGACCAGGAAAGTGCTTGTTAGCCTGAGTTGATCTCAAGCTTGTTTTACTAGTGATGATGATGCCAGGTGAGGTGTGGCATAAAACCTGTGGATTCTTTGATGCGTTTCTTTTTTTTTTTTTAAGTCAGCTGGAATGCAGTGGTATGCTCACGGAACACTGCAGCCTCAACCTACTGGACTCAGGTAATCCTTCCGGCTCAGCCTTCCAAGTAACTGGAAGTACAGGCATGTGCCACCACACCCGGCTAATTTTTGGCTTTATTGTAGAGACAAGGTCTCGCCAAGTTGCCCGGGCTGGTCTCAAACCCTGAGCTCAGGCAATCCTCTTGCCTCAGCCTCTCAACGTGTTGGGCACAGGCTGAAGCCACTGCGCACAGCCGACTTGTTTCTAAAATGAATTTTAGAGTGGCCAGCACAGTTTTAAAACAAAGTTTATTAGTGAGAATAAAATATGAAGGAAGATACAGAGCAGAAAGACCTGCTATGAGCCAAGTTTTTCAAAGAAGAAAAACGATGTTTTTGCCCTCAACTACAAACTAGATGTAACTACCTAGTTATTAATATATGCTAATGAGTGAAGTCCAGATAACCATGGCTCCAGAGAAATTGACATCTCTGGGATCCTGATGCGAGGAGACAGGGGGAGGGGTCTTTTCCTGACCACATTGTTTCCAGTGGGAGACCTGCCAGACATTTCCAATTCACAAGTTCCTTAGCTAAAAGGTGGTCTTATTATCACTTCTATGGCTTTGGTCATTTAAGGAGTGGTCTTTGGCCTTCCACCTTAGACAGGGAACCTGAGAGATTCTTAGAGTTTTTTTGTTTTGTTTTTTTTTAGTCGGAGTCTCACTTTGTTGCCCTGGCTGGAGTGCAGTAGTAGGCTCACAGCCACCGCAGCCTTGACCTGCTTGGCTCAGGAGATCCTCCCACCTCAGACATCCAAGTAGGATTCTTAGAGATTATGCTAAACCATGAATTGAAAGGTTGGACTGTCCTAGTCTTGCATCTGATAGAGTTTTCTCTTGATTTGCTGAGGGGGTGGGGCAGGCTGTCAGCTTGACCTGCAGTAAAATGTATTTTAAAAATGTTCGAGGCCGAGCTTGATGGCTCATGCCTATAATTCCAGCACTTTGGGAGGCCGAGGTGAGAGGATTGCCTGAGCTCACGGGTTCCAGACCAGGCTGGGCAACTTGGCAAGACCTCATCTCTGCTATAAATCAAAAAAATTTAGCAGGGAATGGTGACGTGTGCCTGTAGTTCCAGCTATTTGGAAGGCTGAGGCAGAAGGCTCGCCTGAGCCCAGCAGGTGGAGGCTGTGGTGGCCGTGAGCGTGCCACTGCACTCCAGCCTGGGTGATAGAGAGAATCCGACTCAAAAAAAAAAAAAAAAAAGTCTGAACGCTTCCTAAAACCTACCTATGAAAAATTTATCTAACTGTATCTAACCTGTGCTAGCTACCCTGCCTCAGTGGGCAGCTTCTTTATTTGCAAATAATCGAATACAAGGTTGCTCACCAGCTATTATGTAGCGGGCATCACAGACCATGTCTGCAAACGTTCTTTAAGTTTCCAGTACTGGCCTATCCTCTTGTTTCAAAAAACCAGAAGATGGGAACAACTTTATAAAGGCACTTCATAAGGCTTATAAAACTGACTAAACATGCATTTATTAAGCCCTTAGTTGTTGGCATTGAACCCGGAGAACGTCGAAAGCAGTGCAATGAACATTTCTACGGTCTTTCAGAGTTTACTGGAGCCTGTCAGTAGATGCTTTACGCCACCCAGTAGCGGCAACACTGAAAAGACAACACTGACAAAACACATCGCCAACTTTTCTTTGCTTTTGCATCTCCTTCCTTAACTCCTGGAAATCTCCAACGTTTGTCCAGTGCACGTCGGCAGTTCCCCGCCGAAGATTCTCACTACAGTTACAGGTTGAGCCCTAACTGGCTCCGAACGCCGCCCTCTCCAAGTCGAGGTTTCCGGGCTGGGCAACAATCTGGGCATGCGCAGAAGCCCCGCCAAGCCGGGGCGCCGCTTCCCGCCCCTAACGAGGGGAAGCGGGTGGGCGGCAGGGCGCGTGCGCGAAGGTGGCCGAGGCGCCGGAGCGGTGGGTTACGCTGGAGAGCGCATGGGCAGACAAACTGTACGTCCGTTTGTCCGGACCGGCGGGGAGGGTGGGCGCCATCTTCCTCCAGGCTCACTGAGGGCTCTACCTGTGCTGGGGGAGGCTGCTGCGGCGAAGAGTGTCCCCGGCCCCTGGCCTCGCGTTTCCGACCCGGCGGCAGCGGTGTGTGTTCACTGCCGAGTGCGAAGCAGTTACCCTTGGGGCGTTGGGCCGGAGCGAGGGTGGCGACGGAGCCGGAAGCCCGGGAAAAGGCGGGGCCGCGGCCGCGCCGGGATTTAGCGTAGCGTCTGCCGTTAGGCACCCTGTTTCCTTGCTAAACACCGACTCTCCCTCTCCCGTCAGCTTCCTTGTGGTGGTGTGTGCGCGCTTCCCAGTGAGCTTGAGAGTGAAGATCTCGAAGGATTTCCTAGGTATTTTTTTCTTTGCTGTGTCATCGTAGTCAGTGGCGGCAGGAAAGCGCCGGAGGCCCGGCTCGAGAGGCCTGAGAAGGGCAGACGTGTCGGAGTCAGGTTCAGGGGCAGCCCACCCCCTGGCGAGTTAGGGTGGAATGTTTGCCCTTGGGACGGCTTGACGGGAAGGCACGGAGGTTGGGGCGGTCCAGGTTTATTCGGAGGCTGATGTTGGCTGAAGGACTGGCGACAGCATCGGATCCCACGTAGCACCCGTGGCCTGGCGCGAAAGAAGGAGCTCTGACCCCCCGGCAGTGTGGACAAAGGCTTTGGGCGGTAGAAAGGATGCCTTCGGATGATGCCCGTTTGAGGAGGATGGATGTTGGGGGAAATCTTGTGCCGTGTGGATTCGTCTTCATTTACAGTTCCTCTTAGGGACTATGGCTCGGTGTGGCCATACCTTTGATTTTAATTTTAACCGTCTACATTATAAAAGGCGGCTCATCATGAATAATAATCGTGGACGGGGGTAGATTATTTTTTGCAGGTGAAACCCTCGTTTAGATTTTCAGTGTGCTACGTCTTAACTTTGGATTTTAAGAAGTAGTGACAGGCAGAGAGTAAAAGAGTTCTCTCTCACCAGGTTTCTGGAACCACTCTTTATTCGCTAGTTAAAATCAAATGGATCTGAGATAGTACCTATTTAAATTCAACCTCCCTCTCATTTCCGTTTCTGTATCCCTCTCAGTCTTGATTAGAAGATGCACACTTCATATTGTTTAGTTATAGTGGTGTTTAAGTGGGATGAATCGCTGGATAAAATCAGCAAAGTTATATAAAATGAACGTTTAATTTCAAGTGACTTACCCTTAAATGAGCTTGCAGGAATCCACTTTCTTTTCATAGAAATTCTAACAGATTTCTGTGTCTTGAAATGAACACAAAGTCACAAAAAAACTTTTTGATTAATAACTAGACAAAATTTTAAGTGCAGTGTACTTGAGGGTAATTTGTTTTGCTTTTTGCTTAATTTAATGTGTTAAGAGTAGAACTTCTGGAAAATTTGCTTAAGGAAATAGCATTCTGGAACCACAGGAGGAGCAATCATTTTGAAAGCTGGTCTCTTACAGGTGGTTTGCGTGGTGTGTTATTGTATAGGGATAAGTGGTACATTACCCTACTATCTGAAGGGCAGAGAAGTTTAGGCATTAGTTACATTTAACTGTGGCAAATTAGAACAAATTATTTATTTTTTTATTCGAGTAGGAGTCTCATTCTGTCACCCAGGCTGGAGTGCAGTGGCTCACTGCTGGGCTCAGAAGATCCTTCTGCCTCAGCCTTCCAAGTAGCTGGAACTACAGGCACGCACCACTTTGCCTGGCTAATTTTTTGCTTTATTGTAGAGATGATGTTTCGCCAAGTTGCCCAGGCTGGTCTGGAACCCGTGGGCTCAGGCAATCCTCTCACCTCTGCCTCCCAAAGTGCTGGGATTATAGGCGTGAGCCACAACATCTGGCCTATCTTATGCTGCTTTAAAAAATATCTTTAAAAAGTAGCCAAGCCAGTTGCATAGGAGGGAGTTTCGGGACTTAATGTGGATACGTTTTCCAGAAGCCATTTACAGTTCTCATTGCAGTGTTGCTGTGGAGATGTTTTGTTGAAGAAACTAGGCTTATATGTTTTTTTGTTTTGTTTTTAACACCACATCAGTACTTTAGTAGTAAACCTCATTAATGTTTTTTAGATGTGGAATGTGCCAAGTAATTTCTTGATATCTTTCCTAGTTTAGTTTTTAGTTTGAAAATTATAATTTATGGACCCTTTTGAAAGGAAAACAAACCTTGCACACTTAAGTATGTCTTCCCACCCCACCTTGTGGAACCATGGTATTTAAGTGCTAGACTAAAGCAACATTTATTTGTACATTAAAAACATGAAGTTATAATTATTAATTTGGCAAGTCTTAAAAACTTATTTGGTAAGACTTCATTATAACTGTTAGTTTGGATATCTCTGAAAGTATTAGATGCAAGTATCCTTAAGAAAATACTGCAACGGGATTTTTTATTAATCTGGTAATCCAAATATCACAAATTAAAGCATTTTTATTATATTTTTGCTTTTCTACATTGTCATTTGGATTTCCTCAGTAGAGTGCAAATAGTTGTTTGAAATGGAATAAGTCTGTTGGCATAATAAGATTTTATATTTATCTCAGCATACTCTATTTGGCTTGAGATGAATTTTAATAGTTACTGTTTTTGGAGTATAAGATAAGGCATGGTATTGAGATTTTTTACTTTAGGGATACTGCAGTATTTGACTTAACTGGAATCAAGAAATTTGATTGTGTTTTTTGGAAGTGTGAGTCATGTATATATAGAACTTTACAATGTATCCATACAGTAGCCATGGGTTTGGATCTATTGCTTTAAAAGTTGATTTTTGAATTTGAAGCTTTGGTGTTTTATTCACTTATTGTGTCATTTTGAATAGCTGCCTTATTAATTTGATTTGGTCTTATGTTTTCAAAGGGGGGAGAATGACAAGAGAGTTGGACATACATATGAAGTAGATGTTAGGATTTTCATGTTGTGAAGTGATTGAGGGTCTTTAAAAACTTTTTTTTAGTATTCTTAATTGACATTTTACTTATAGTTTTTTTCCCGAAGTAGATGTAAAACTACTACACAGCAAAATGCTAAGGATAGAATTCAGTGAACTTTGGTAAACTTTTTTCTCATAAATTGAAATTTATGAAAAGGCATTTTTCTCTTATATCCATAAAATGATGTAATTTTTGCAAGTATAGAAATATGTCCCGGCCTATATGTCATAAATTACACATAATGTTCCTTAATTACAGCTCATGCAACTTGTTACTTTCCTCCCTCTTTAAAAAAATGAGAGAACCAACAAATATATATGACTGTATATGTGTATATATTTATTTATATTAGACAAACCAAATATGAAAAATAATCATTTCCTCTTTGGTATAAAAATCAGACTCTCACCTTGAGAGACACGTCACAAATAGGCATGATATTGGGTTTGTAAACTGTGTAGCCAGATTTCCTTGTCAAGACTTCTTTTCTGCATTCCCTGCCCTTCCCCCCCACCTACCTCCAATTCCTTTTGGGCTCCCACATTGCACATTTAAAATCTCCACACCTTTTTCCCAGTGCCACTCTATTGAAGTGTCTCCCCACCTCCTACCAAAGAAGAGGAAAGAATTCTTCCCAAGGCTGATCAGGCAGCAGCTAACATGGGAGACACTTAACTTGATTAAGCTTCATAGGTGAGGGTGACAGAAAGAAAGGCCAGACTGTGAGAACCTTCATACATTTATACACCTTTGTAACAATCACTGCTTTCAAAACCATGCAAACCTGCATTCATTCCCTCACAACTTTTCTTTGGTACTTCCAATCAAGGAGCAGTTTAATTTTCAGCACGCTTTTTATTTTTTAATATTTTGCAGATGTCTACTCAAATATTGTATCTCCTTTGTGCAGAAGGATGATTAATTTCCCCTTGGAACAAAGAAGACCATTTTGTAATGCCCTTAATTGTGGTTCCTTTTATTGCTTCACTTTTAATAGGTAATTCTGAAATGGATATCCAAATCTGGCGTTGCTTAAGATAAATTACAGGGTTCAAGGATTAATTATATTTCATTTTCTTTCCACAGTTAAGTTGCTTTTACAGAATTAACAGGTCTCCAAGAAATAAAAAAGGTAAGATATCCAGAGTTTAAAAAGGCTTTTCACAGAGGCTTAACAAAAAACATGTAAAGTAGAATAATTTAAGGTCCTGTGGCTTCTGTTCTTTATGTCTGGCCTGTGATGCTCTAGTGGAAGGCAATTTATTATGAGCAGAAATTATATACTAACCATAGATGGGTTTTCTAAATATGTAAAATTCATTGTGGTTGGTAAAAATACTTTAATCTAAAAAACTGTCTCTTGTTTCAGTAGAAGATATGTTTCTGAATGACTCCAATTGTAGTCTGTTCTTGTGAAGCAGCGTTTGACAGGTTTACAAAGGAAGATTTGATATTTTTGATGTTCCTATTGTATAGATAGGAGATATGAAATGTTTCTTCAAGGTAGTTGGCTTATTTGTATGTTTAAATGGGAGAAGGCTTATTCCTTGTTTCCTTTAATAATTAGATATGGTCAATATTTTTGTGAACTTGTATCTTGTTTTCATTTATAAATGCTGAAGGAAGCAGGAACCAGTAATTTAAAAGCTTAGTTTGGGCTAAGGTACTTCAAAAATAAGACTTGCTATTATGTGTACCTTTTTGTCTGCAGGTCATTATTGCTGTTGTTTGAGCTCAGCATGGCTGTAGTCATCCGTTTACTGGGGCTTCCTTTTATTGCGGGGCCTGTGGATATTCGTCACTTCTTCACGGGATTGACTATTCCTGATGGAGGAGTGCATATAATTGGAGGGGAAGTTGGGGAGGCTTTTATTATTTTTGCAACAGATGAAGATGCAAGACGTGCCATAAGTCGTTCAGGAGGGCTTATCAAGGATTCATCTGTAGAGCTCTTTCTTAGTAGCAAGGCAGAAATGCAGAAGACTATAGAAATGAAAAGAACTGATCGTGTCGGAAGAGGGCGACCAGGATCTGGGGCATCAGGGATGCGCAGCCTGTCTAACTTTATTGAGGCTGTTAAGGAAGAATCAAGTAATTTTGGATATGGCTCTTTGATTAATCAAGATGCTGGGTTTCATACTAATGGTACAGGACACGGTGATTTAAGGCCAAGAAAGACAAGGCCATTGAAAGCCGAGAATCCCTATTTGTTTCTACGAGGTTTGCCTTACTTAGTAAATGAAGATGACGTACGTGTCTTTTTCTCTGGTTTGTGTGTGGATGGAGTAATTTTCTTAAAACATCACGATGGCCGAAATAACGGTGATGCCATAGTAAAATTTGCTTCATGTGTTGATGCCTCAGGAGGTCTTAAATGCCATAGAAGTTTTATGGGTTCAAGATTTATAGAAGTAATGCAAGGATCAGAACAACAGTGGATTGAATTTGGTGGTAACGCAGTTAAGGAGGGTGATGTTGTTACTAGAGCTGAAGAACATTCTCCACCAAGAGGAATTAATGATAGACATTTTCGAAAATGGTCTCATTCAAAATCTCCTGGAAGAACACGTTCTCGTTCCCCTCTCGGATTTTATGTTCACTTAAAAAATCTGTCCCTAAGTATTAACAAAAGAGATTTAAGAAATTTCTTTAGAGATACAGATCTCACTAATGAACAGATTAGGTTTTTATATAAAGATGAAAGAAGAACAAGGTATGCCTTTGTGATGTTCAAGACTCTGAAAGACTATAATACTGCTCTGGGTTTACATAAGACTGTTTTACAGTATCGTCCAGTTCACATTGATCCAGTTTCTAGAAAACAAATGCTGAAGTTCGTTGAATATTATGAAAAGAAGAGACCAGGGTCAAAAGAGAAAGAGAGGCCTGGACATGTTTCACAAAAGTATCCTCAAGAAGGCTATTCTGGCCGGAAACTGTGCATATATATAAGAAATTTTCCATTTGATGTTACAAAAGTTGAAGTACAGAAGTTCTTTGCAGATTTTTCTCTCGCTGAGGATGACATTTACCTGTTTTGTAATGACAAAGGAGTTGGTTTGGGAGAAGCATTGGTGAAATTTAAATCAGAAGAACAGGCCATGAAAGCTGAACGTTTAAACCGACGAAGATTCTTAGGAACAGAAGTATTATTAAGACTTATATCTGAGGCACAGATGCAGGAGTTTGGTGTAAATTTTTCCTTGATGCCCAGTGAGAAGATGCAAGCTCGTTCACAGTCACGTGATAGAGATGACCATTCCCATTTATTTGACTCAAAAGATCCTCCACTATACCCAGTTGGCCCTTCTGAAAACTTTAGACATCAGGTAGAGGACTTGAGGCAACTGGATAACTTCAAGCATCCCCAGGGGGATTTCCGACAGCCCGACAGACACCCTCTGGAAGACTTTGGGCACTCCCCAGAGGATTTCAGGTTCCCTTCAGAGGACTTCAGACACTCCCCGGAGGACTTCAGGCACCCTCGGGAAGAGCACTTCAGGCGACCTTCTGAGGAGGACTTCAGGCGCCCTTGGGAGGAAGACTTCAGGCACCCCAGGGAGGAGGACTGGAGGCAGCCACTGGAGGAGGATTTTAGGCGATCTCCCAAGGAGGACTTCAGGCAACCTTCTGAGGAGGACTTAAGGTGGCCCCCTGAAGGAGATTTCAGGCGGCAACCTGAGGAGGACTGGAGGCGGCCACCTGAGGAGGACTGGAGGCGGCCACCTGAGGAGGACTTCAGGAGGCCCCCTCAGGGGGAATGGAGGCGATCACCCGAGAATGACTTCAGGCGACCTCTTGAGGAGGATTTCCGGCGGCTTCCAGAGGAGGATTTCAGACATTCCCCTGACGAGGACTTCAAGCAGTCACCCCAGGAGCACTTCAGACGGCTACCCCAGGAGCATTTCCGGCGGCCACCTCCGGAACATTTCAGGCGACCACCTCCGGAGCACTTTCGGCGACCGCCCCCGGAGCACATCAGGCGACCGCCCCCGGAACACTTCAGGCGACCGCCCCCGGAACACTTCCGGCGTCCGCCCCAGGACCATTTCCGGCGCCCGCCCCAGGAGCATTTCCGGCGTCAGCCCCAAGAGCATTTCAGGCGCTCACGAGAGGAAGATTTCAGGCACCCACCAGATGAAGACTTCAGGGCCCCTCCAGATGAAGACTTTAGACACCCTCCTGATGAGGAATTCAGGAGCCCCCAGGAGGAAGATTTCAGATGCCCTTCTGATGAAGACTTCAGGCAGCTCCCGGAAGAAGACCTCAGGGAAGCTCCGGAGGAGGGCCCTAGACTTCCTGACAATTTTAGACTTCCTGGTGAGGATTTTAGGAATCCACCTGATGATTTTAGAAGTCATCGCCCTTTTGTGAATTTTGGTCGCCCAGAGGGTAGCAAGTTTGATTTTGGAAAGCATAATGTGGGAGGTTTTCCCGAAGGGAGATTTATGCCTGATCCAAAGTTAAATTGTGGTTCAGGTAGAGTAACTCCTATTAAGATAATGAATCTTCCATTTAAAGCTAATGTTAATGAGATTTTAGATTTTTTCCATGGTTATAGAATCATACCTGATTCAGTTTCAATACAATATAATGAGCAAGGATTACCTACAGGGGAAGCCATTGTTGCTATGATAAACTATAATGAAGCTATGGCTGCTATTAAAGATCTGAATGATAGGCCAGTCGGCTCCCGAAAAGTTAAGTTAATTTTACTCTAGAGAGCAGTTCTAAATTGAGTTATCATCCCACAGTATTGATGCAGTAAAATGCATTTGTTTTTTAAAAACTGTTTATCTGATGAAAAGAAATATTTTAATTTTGACCTGTGAATAGAACAAACTTAAATAGTAGAATGTGAATTTGGTTTTCTTTTGCTTGCAAATTGCTATTCATTTTTCTAATTTAAAATTATGTGTGCTTTTTTTTTCTTTGACGGGAGAGAGAACTAATTCCCCGTGTTCATTAGTTTTTGTTGATGTCATAGGTAAACCTCAAGACTTACAGAGTTGTATCTGGGAAAGTTAAATTTTATATTCATTTAAATTTTATTTTGTAGTCTACATCTTCTACCCAGACTGTGTAAGGAAATAGTGTCTGATTGTTCAGGTTTGGCATTTCACTACTACCTGCCTATGGAATTAATGCCTTCTTTCTTGTCTGAGATATTACTGTGTTGAGCTTCGTATTAATTATAAATAGTTTAAGATGGACAGACTGTCAACTTGGAATTTACTTATGTAAAAAGCTTAGGCAATTCTTAAGGTTTCCATGTTCTTCATACCTTTGCAAAGTCTCATAAAAATAAAAATTGCAACTGGATAGAACAACTAATTAACCTGTATTTGTATAAAAAGAATTGAAAAAAAAAGAATTGCAACTTGGTATTGTGAAGTTTTTTGACAACTACATTAAACTATACTTATGATGAGAGAGACCAGACATTTTATAATAATAATGGATATACTATATATAATTTCATGGTTTCTTCAATTCTTATCAATCAGATTGATAAGAGTAACACAAAATACTTAAAAGACAATAATGAGAATATAATTATAGGTGCAAAAGGGACTCTCAAGTTCATGCTGTGAAGAATCTGACAAATAGGTCATTTTTCTAGGAAGAATTTACTGATGATTCATATAACTTGCATGTAATATTAGGTTCTCATTTTTTAGCTTTAAAATTTTGTGTAAGTTTAAAGACTATAAGCCTTGTGAGATTGAATTTTGACTTTGATATTCAACATTTAATGTTATACATTTTGCAAATGCCGAATTTGATTTTCTATATCCATAATGATATTAATGGCTAGCATTTATTAGGCACTTAACTATGTGCTAGGCACTATAAGCGCTTTACATGCATAATCTCAATATTTTCTAATAAATGTAGGACCTATTGTTTACTTCTATTTCACAAATGTGATCATGAAATTGAGAGGTTAAGCAACTTGCCTAAAGTCACAGTAAATAATGGAGCCTATTTCAACCCAGACAGATCAACAACTCCAATTCATGCTCTTAATACTTTTGCTGCCTCACTTTGTTAAATGGTAGTTTTAATTTTAGTAAGACCATGCTAAAGTTATTTTCAGGACTAAATGATATTTTCTTCCATTGTTGGTTTAAAAATAGCATTAGTACAGAAGGAGCAAAACTGAGAAAAGAAAAAATAATAACAATGGCATTTTAAAAAGATAAAACTAGGATGCTTGAACATTATTAATAAATAACAAAGTAACTTTAAATCTTTTTATATATCCAGGGTTTCTCTTGAGATACTCACATCATATATTGGCTTCTATTTCAAAATTGTTCGTTTTATTCAGTACGATTTGACAGTGGTTGGCCTTAGTTCTGTGATCCAGACATTTTCCACATTGAGTAAATAATAAGATTGAATTTATATATGGTACTTTAGTCAATAATAGTATATTGCAGAGATAGAATACTGTTAGTACTTAAGTCAATTAATATCTATTATTTTGCATTTTCAGTGATTTAAATAAATCTTTGAGAAGTCTACTTAAATTTATCTTTGCTTCTGATAATGAACATCCTGCTTAATAATAGAATGAATAAACTGGTGAATTTGGTTCAAAAAAGCACTTCAGTATGGTTCTTTAGACTAGTAAGTATATATATAGCTAGAAGAATGATAAACTGATTGTTTAGAATATCCAAACCAGATAAAAAATGAACAAAATAGGAAGGAATTATTATTACTTTTTTTATTATTGAATCAGAGTCTTACTCTGTCACCCAGACTAGAATGCAGTGGCACAACCTTAACCTCTTGGGCCCAAGTGATCTTCTGTCTCAGCCTCCTGGGTAGCTGGGACTACAGGCGTGTGTGCTAATTTTTAACATTATTTGTAGAGATGAGGTCTTGCTGTGTTGCCCAGGCTGTTCTCAAACTCAAGAGATCCTCCAGCCCTGGCCTCCCAAAGTGCTGGGATTACAGGCATGAGATACTGTGCCTAGACAGAAATGACATTTTTGATTGGTCACAGATTGTATAGATGGTTGATTTGATCAGCCATCTTGAGTAATATATGGAAGATTGAAAAACACTTCTTAAATACCTTGCAGTAAAGCTCAGGTGAACATTAAAGTGGAAAGATCACTAACTTTGGAATTACTTCTCAGACTTGGCAGGGGTAGGATAGTGGACAAGCTTTGTATTTTGATTTCTAAATTAATTGATGTGAATATTTCATTTTACTCACTATTTCAGGGTTTCACATTCTTTAACATCATTATTAAAAGTTTATTATAGAAAGCTGATATCTACTGGTTGGAAGCCATTTTGGCACATCTCTTTCCAACTCTGTCTTTGGTGATATGTCAATAACTAAGAGTATTTCTACCATGAAAATTGATAAATACAAGAAAGCAGGGCATTCCCTTCCCTTTGTCCCTCTGGAGAGCCAGCTCACCGATTCCAAACATGTAAAGTAGTACTAAACCCTCATGTTCATCACCCATCTTCAATAATTATAAATTCCTTTTATTTATTTATTTCTTTATTTTTATTTTATTTTATTTTTTGAGTTGGAGTCTCACTCTGTCGCCCAGACTGGAGTGCAGTGGCCGCTCCCGGCCACTGCAGCCTCAACCTGCTGGGCTCCGGTGATCCTTCCGCCTCAGCCTTCCAAGTAGCCGGAATTACAGGCATGCGCTACCACGCCCGGCTGATTTTTTGATTTATTGAAGAGATGAGGTCTCGCTGCCCAGGCGGGTCTCGAACTCGTGGGCTCAGGCAATCCACTCACCTCAGCCTCCCAAAGGCGCGGAATTACAGGCTGAGCCACCAAGCCCGGCTTATTTGTTTATTTTTAAGACAGAGTCTCACTCTGTTACCCAGACTGGAGTGTACTGGCACGCCCACAGTCACCAGCAGACTCGACCTGCTGGCCTCAGGTGGTCCTTCCACCTCAGCCTTCCAAGTGGCTAGAACCACAGGTGTGTTCCACCACATCCAGCTAGTTTTTTGATTTATTGTAGAGACATCTTGCCAAGTTGTCCTTGCTGGTCTTGAACCCCTGGACTCAAGTAATCCTCTTGCCTCTGCCTCCCAAAATTCTGAGATGACAGGCGTGAGCCACCACTCCCGGCCAATAATTGTAATTTCATAGACAGCTTTTCCTTTCTCTTTATGCCCAGGTATATCAGATACACTGGAGGCATATTGATTCTCTAGTGTGATACCAATGGCATTTTGTCTTAAACATTCTTATGTAGAAATTGTCTGAAAAATAAATATCATGTCTAGAGAGTTAATCCCATGGCCAGATGACAGGTAAAATTAGATTAGGAGTGGACTTCTATCAATTTACTGAAAACTTGATCCGTATATAACCTATTAAGCGGTGACCTCTACGATTGCATTAAATATTAGCTGTTGTTTATTGGTATGCATTAGATAATATATGATCTATAATTTCATATACATTAACTCATTTAGTCCTAACAATCCTAATAAAATTACTAAAGGTTGAGTATTCCTAATTTCAAAAGTTGAAATGCTTCCAGATTCCAAACTTATGACACTCAAAGGAAATTCTCACTGAAGAATTTTGGATTTCATGTTTTTGGATACTTGAATACAGTATAATGGAAATACTCCAAAATATGAAAAATCCCAAATCCAAAATCCTTGTGATCCTAAGCACTTCAGATAAGTGATATGCAACCTGTTTTCCTATTTTGGTGATAAGGGATGGAGATGTATAGGATAAGTAACCTGGGTTGGGTGCCTGTTTTTTTACAGCAAGGAAACTAGGAATGAGTTTTACTTTATTTTTTTTTTTTGAGTCAAAGTCTCACTCTGTTGCAATCATAGCTCACTGCAGCCTCAACCTCCTGGGCTCAGGTGATACTTCCACCTCAGCCTCCCAATTAACAGACTACAGGTGTGTATATCATGGCTGAAAATTTTTTTGTGCAGATGAGGTCTTACTGTGTTGCTTAGTCTGGTCTCAAACCTCTGGGCTCAAACAATCCTCTCACTTTAGCCTCCCAAAGTGCTGGGAATACAGGTGTGAGCCTGACCTAGTTTATACATTTTAAAATGTGTTACAGCTAAAGTGGTTTCATAAGTACCCATGTTATAATAGCCTTGATTTTGTTTCTTGGGCCACAAACTAAAAATATGAATCATCTGGCCCTTTAAAAAGAAATTTGCCAAGCTAAGTTTAAATAATGAAAATTTTGCACCGATGAAAATATTTTCATGGATAAGTATTCCTTTTGTTTTTAGAATATTTATTTGAGGTAGGCAGAGCATATGATTATTTCAGAATTGTTGATTGTTTTGTGCACTGTTTTAACTTCACAGATAAAGCAAATGATGCATAAGGGTTTTTTTGTTTGTTTTTTAAGTCAGAGCCTCACTTTGTCACCTGGGCTGGAGTGCAGTAGCACTGACACAGCCACTGTAGCCTCGATCTGATGGGTTCAGACAGTCCTTCTACCGCAGCCTTCCAAGTAGCTGAAACCACAGGCGCGCGTGGCCACCATGCCTGGCTAATTTTTTTTTTTTTTTAAGAAAGTTAAATTTATTGGAGAAGATACATTGTGAAGGGCACAATAGGCAGAACAGCTGCACAAGTGTCTGCTGCCTGCTGCCTGATTTTTAAAATCTATTGTAGAGAAGAAGTCTCGCCATGTTATGTTGCTCAGGTGCGTCTCAAACCTGTGGGCTCAGACAATCCTCTCGCCTTGGCCTCTCCAAAGTGCTGGGATTACAATCGTGAGCCACTGTACCTGGCCCATGAGAAGTTTCTTTTTAATAAGCAGGCAGAGAAATAACCTTGTTTCCTCCCCCCATCCTTCCTGGGACTACAACTCCATAATTAAATAGAGATGGAGAATGTAATAAAAATCCAATGATATTCTCAGTTTATTTTATTTTTTTAGGAGGCAAGGTCTGGCTATGTTGCCCAGGCTGGTATTGACCTCCTGGGCTCAAGCAGTCCTCTTGCCTTAGCTTTCCAAAGTGCTAGGGTTGTAGGTGTGAGCCATAATACTCAGTTTATTAATATCAGTTTATTTAGAGCTTTGAAATGTTTTGCATAGTTATAATTATTCTCAGGAAGTAGTGCTTTGTTAACACATTCGCGACCAGCACATCTTTCACTCTCCTAATACTGAGAGTGTGTGACAATAAAAAAAATCTAAAGCTGGTTGCCGCAAACTTCTGTCAGTAAGCACAAGTGAAAAGTCTTTTCTAAATTGTCACCTTTTTCACAATACAGCTGAAAGTTGCACACATATCCAGTATTTTCCTCAGATACCACTCCTGACTAGCATTCCGTACTTTGTATTTTTATTCAGATTATAAAAGACAGTCTTGCACAATGAAATATCATGGATTCATCCACGAAAAATTCTTGTTCAGGTTTGTACACAATCTTGAGCTTACTTAAAACGTAATTTATTACAGGCTCAATTTTGCATAATCTGCTTGGATTTGACTGCATTACTGGAAAACAAAAACTGCAAAATTTGGAATCTATTTCATGTCATTGTTTTGGAAAAGACATCGCGGTTGACGAATGTATTGACCAATAATCATGTATTGTGGTTTTCGTCACTTATCCCATCAAACTATTTAATGCTAAAAATTTTTTCATCTCGGATACTGTAGTATTGCTCCACTTTATTTCTTTGGATATTTATATCTGTGGTGCATCTGATCATAATAACTTAGTTTCAGTTGTGATCATTTCTATAACTTCATCTCCAATAAATATTCTGACCACTTATACTTTGAGGATCATTTGGAAATACCTTGACACCTGTATTATCAATGAACACTTCTAAGTTTCTTTTTGGATCATATTCTGTCCACTTAGTTTCTGATTCATTCTCACCAGTACTAGATTAACTGTCATAAATTATCTGTGTTACATTTCATTGTTTACATTGCATCATTACATTACTATCTGTTTATCACTAATAAGTTCACTGGATTCACCTTTGACCTCGGAAGTCTCATTATATAATTCTTCATTTTCCATAATTATGGTAAATTATTTTTAATATTGAAGTATGAAAGCCCTGAAATATCAAAATACAAGTATATAACACTAATTGCAAGAAAATAATGACCAACTTGCCATTTTAAGCAACTTCGTAAAACAGTAACAATATTGTGTGATCGATATCAGATAATTATCTCAGTTAACTTTCTCCTTGTTAGACTATTCATTTTTAAGCAAAATATAACACATACATATGATAACGTTGCGGCATTCAGAAATAATTTGCAAAGATGTAAATTCACGTTAGTGGCAACCAGGAACAGAATTTGGAGTGATGTAAATTGACATCAGTGGTCGCAAATGAGTTAAGAACAGAATCATGAATGACAAAGTTGGAAAAAGCTTTCTGAAAAGTCTCTGATGAGTAATTGCTTTTTTTTTTTGTTATCCCAAATGATTTTATAAATTTCATTTTTATATGACTGGGATAGATGGAATAAAAGTAAATTCTTCATTCAAAAAAACCCCAAAACAATCAATTACACACAACCAAAACCTTCAGTTTTTCAGGAATAAGAGTGACTATATACTCTTATCTATATGGTAAAATTTCTGTAGAATTTTTAATGATTTATGTATGGTGTTCTATTAATGAGGCAACATCCCACCAAATTGCTTGCCTTCCAGAAGTTGCAATCCATGAATAATAACTTAGTATGACAGTATTTTTGTTTTAAAACCAGAATCAGGTTGATTGTGGCTTTTTTTTTTAAACTTAGGCTTTATGTATATTGGTAAAACACTGATATTTAAGTGTTCCATTATGGTTTTTGTTTGTTTTTGAGTAGGAATCTCTGTCACCTAGGCTGTAGTACAGTGGCATGCTCATGGCCACTGCAGCCTCGATCTGCTGGGCTCAGGTGATCCTTCTACCTCAGCCTTCATAGTAGCTGGAACCACAGACGCATGCCACCATGCCTGGCTAATTTTTTTATTTATTGTAGAGATGAGGTCTTGCCAAGTTGCGAAGGCTGGTCTCGAAACCCTGGACTCAGGCAATCCTCTTGCCTCAGCCTCCCAAAGTGCTGAGAATACAGGTGTGAGCCACCACTCTGGCTATCTTTCCTCTGTTTTTCTAAACTCTTTTTGAAAAGTAAATTGATACACCAAATGATGAAATAAGATGATGTAAAGGTAAATAAAAATATTTTTTTACTTAAGCCTTCATGGAATAGAATTTTTATGTAATCAGAATGAGCACCAAAGGACCCTTTTCTGGTGATGCAAAAGCATGGAGCCTTAGCCTAAAAGAAGCTAAGTGGAATGTTAGATCTTTTGGAGTTTTTTTTCCCCCCATCTACCTACTATTGAAATTTCAGCTAGGTATAGTGTATTAATAGAAAATACTTAGAAAAAAACTTTTTTAAAACCGTCAGTATTAGCATAAATTTCCTTTAATTTTTTCCAATTCTAGTAGGATTTTGTTTTGAGGTTTCATGTGTAAAGTGAGTATAATGCTTTACAATTTAGGAATCCTAGATTTCAAGTCATGTAAGGTGAAAGTGGAAATGAGAAGTTTACTTAAGAAAATGAATTTTCTTCTGTAAAAACTGACTTTTCACCTTCATCATCTTCTGCTAGTTGATCCTTTCTTATTTGACTGGTGGATACCTGTTAAAAGTTAACACATTTTTAAGAATAAAAATCCTAAAACATATTTTACTTTCTTGGCATCTTTTTGTATGCCTTTATAAGAAAGGGCACACAACAAATATTTCAGGAAAATGTCCATGTGTCATCAGTTTTCATAATGAAAACTCTATGGAATTACTAGATCTTAAGTCAAAGATTTTTTCATTGATTTACTGTATATTTTTTGGATAAAAATGATATTAACTATTTGATTACAGTTGGGTGGCCACTAGTACGTTAACATAATACCTTAGGAGAAAAGTATAGCCTCAGTATATTGTGAATGTTAAAAATAAGTTAAGCAGTTTTTGAGTATTTGAGAATCATTCAATGGATGGCAAAAATAGAAAGCTGTTTCAACTAGGCAGTGGGACAGAAATACTGATATAAAATTAGTGTGATTTAAATGGAATGAGTTGAGAATCTGAATTGACTAGCTTGAAGTCCTGTCCTCTTGGAGCATCTTGCTTAAAACTTCTCTGAGGGTGACTCTACCTGTACCTAACTCGGAGGACATGTCTGGTGATATGAGTCCTTATCACAATGCGGGGGTGTGTTTGTATGTGCTCCTGTGTATGTGTTTGTATGTGCTCTTGTGGGTAGAAGCTAGGAGTGCTGCTCAATCTCTTCAAAATGTGTGGATCAGTACTCCCTCCCCCTCTCTGTCACACCTTCTCCCACTTGATTATCTGGTCCAAAGTCAATAGTCTGTGGTTGAAGAACCCTAGGATAATATATTCTAAAATGCTCTACAAGTGTTAGCTAAGTTAGGAAATGTTATTCTAAATAGTCAGAACTTTACATGTAATATAACAGTATATTTATGGAATTTATGTGCAAGGCACTTAATGGTAGAATAAAAAAATACAATTTGGTTATGGGGAAAGATATATAAATAGGAGATAAATGCTTAGATGAGAATCCAATGAAGAGAGAAGGTATGGGGTCAAATCTACCCAAATGTTGTCTTTTGAAAATATTTTGTTCAGTTTTAAGTTCTGAAGGCAGGATTGAAAAGAGTATAGCTCTCCAGATGAGGTTTTGGCTAGTTAGGGACTAGCTTGCCTTCTGGTTTTATAAATAAAAGCTTTATTAGAACACAATCATACTGAGTTATTGATAGGTTATTTATAGTTTATCTTTTAGGACAGTAAACCATGTGGGCCACAAATCCTAACTCTCTCCACCTTGCAGAAAACAATTATCAACCCTGGCACTAGCTACTGGGTAGCTAGGCTTTCTGGATAGTAAGAAAAATGAAATGACTTGTACAATAATGTTCAGCAAAAGCCTCTTCTAATAGATCCACTAAATCACGATAAATTTAAGCCTATGCCATCAACATCAGAATCTATTCTTTTTTAATACAAGATCACAAATCTACGTGCGCATTCTTCTGTCTTTTCCACCTCAGCTCTATAGTATTATGTTTTAGAGCATAATATTTCTTACAGTATAAAAGATATTTAATATAAGGGATAACAGAACCATACATAGTGCAACCTTCCATTATTTATAGAAGAGTAAATAGGCCCAGGAAAGGTAAGTTATATGAGGTCATATGACAGAAGGAAAATATTTTTAGTACTGAACAATTCCAAAAGCAGCAGCTCAAATTCCTTTAAACTATGGTTTCTGACTCACCTGTCCTGTTCCAGATACACACTTAGCTGACAGCAGTCTCTGAAGAGGTGACTTTGAATTTGCTCTTACAATATCTAAACGAGGTAGATAACCTGGTGCATACAGAGAATTTCGAAAGACCTATTGAAGTGATAAAACAATGTTATAAAGTAGATACTAAGCAATGAAAACCTAGAGAGTCAAGTTCCTCTTAGTTAAGATTTTGTAAAGTGGTTTGCCCCCAAATGGAAAAAATTCCAGTTATTGTAAATTTAAAAGAAAAAGCTAAACAGTGCAAAAAGTCTAAGGAAGAGGAAAGGTACAAAATCCCATTTGAACCATGAGGGATGTCACCAGTAATTAGTCAGGAAACAATTACCCAAGTGCTTTTGCCAGGGGAATTGAAAAGGACTATGCAAGCTACTCTGGGAGGCTGCAGCTCCAAATCATACTTTTGATTCTTTCTGCTCTGCATATGCTCAACTCTCATCCATTTAACTTCACTGCAGTAATAAGGGAAAAGTAATTTGGAGCCACTGATTTTGTGGATTCTAAGCTTACTACGATCTGGAGTGCCATGACTTGTGAGTTGTCTTTAAGGCATCACTTCCAAATCTTACCACTCTGAAGCCTTCATATCTTCATGTTTGCTCTTCCCTATTTTTCTAACAGATTAGTAGGTAAGGGTTTCTGCTGTGAATGTCTTCACTTCCCTCTGTCTTCCTTCAAACTCTGCACTCCAACTTTTTTTGTAGGTCAGTATCATTCTGATCCCTCCAACATGCAATTTTCCTTTATCTCAAACTTCAACAAAAAAGCTTTTGTTTTCCACAGGTTCCCTCATAGAAAACAAGCTGAAGATTAGTCTTTTTAAAAAAATTACTACGAGGTATAAGTTTACTTCTTGGCCAGGCATGGTGCCTCACACCTGTAATCTCAGCACTTTGGGAGGCAGAGGTGAGAGGACTGCCTGAGCCCAGGGGTTTGACCTTCAGCCTAGGCAACTTGATGAGACTTTGTCTCTACAATAAATAAAAAAAATTAGCCAGGCGTGGTAGTGCATCCCTTCTGTTCCAGTTACTTGAAAGGCTGAGCCGGAAGGATTGCTTGAGCCAAGCAGGTTGAAGCTGCAGTGGCCGTGAGCATGCTAGTGCACTCACAAAGTGAGACTCCAACTCAAAAAAAAGTTAGTAAAAAACTTCTCATTCTACTTCATCTCCATTTATTTTATTTTATTATGTTTTCTTTTTAACTTTTGTTTCAAGGATGAGGTCTCACTACATTGGTCAGGCCGGTCTTGAACTCTTGGCCTTAAGCAATCCTGGTTTAGCCTGCCAAAGTGCTGGGATTATAGGTGAACCACTGCACCCAGCCTCCATTTATTTTTCAAGAAACTACAACCATTTTCACCTTCCATTAAAATTGCTTTTGCCAAAGTCATCAAAGTTGTCTCTTTTTTTGGTCATAATTTTCACTGATCTTTTAAAAAGACTTTTCAGAGTTTAGCCTAGGGCACTTGAAAGTTTCTACAAAAGATCTATGTATACAGACAGTGTGTAATGACTACTCTTCAACTAACTCTCTGTACACTCCATACTCATGCTTGCAATACCTTCTGCTCTAGTCCACTAGAACTTACTTTTTAAATTTATTTTATTTTTTAGTATACTTTCTTTTTTTTTGAATTGGAGTCTCACTCTGTCGCCCAGACTGGAGTGCAGTGGCCGCTCCCAGCCACCGCAGCCTCGACCTGCTAACCTCCAGCGATCCTTCCGCCTCAGCCTTCCAAGTAGCTGGAACTACAAACGCACGCTACCATGCCTGGCTAATTTTTGATTTATTGTAGAGATGAGGTCGGTCTCGCCAAGTTGCCCAGTCAGGTCCCGAACCCGCGGGCTCAGGCAATCCACTCACCTAGCCTCCCAAAGCGCGGGATTATAGGCTAAACCACCGAGCCCGGCTGAACTTACTTTTTTTAAATCGGAGTTTCACTCTGTCACCCAGGCTGGGAGTGCAGTGGCACACTCACAGCCACCACAGCCTCAACCTGCTGGGTTCAGGTAATCCTGCCTCAGCCTTCCAAGTAGCTGGAGCTACAAGTGCACACCTGGCTAATTTATTTATTGTAAAGACGAGGTCTCACCAGGTTGCCTAGGCTGGTCTTAAACCTGTGGGCTCAAGCAATCTTTTTGTCTCAGCCTCCCAAAGTGCTGGGATTACAGGCATGAGCCACTGCACGCAGAACGTTGAGATGATGGAAATGCTTATTGTTCTATGTTGTCCAAAAAGGTAGTGACTACCCACATGTGGCTACTGAAGCACTTGAAATGTGATTTATTTGACTGAGGAACTGAATTTTTAGCTTTAATTAACTTTAAATATCCACATATGCTTAGTGGCTACTCTACTGGACAGTGCATTCATAGATTCACTTCTATAAGGAAAGATGTTTTGACCTGCTAGACCAAGCTATGTATGTGAGCATTTTCCCTGAATCTCTTACCTGAAGTACTTCAGTTTTAATAAAGTAAGAACAAGCTGGGCTCGGTGGCTCAGCCTGTAATCCCACACCTTGAAAGGCTGAGGTGAGTGAGTTGCCTGAGCCCACGGGTTTGAGACCCGCCTGGGCAACTTGGTGAGACCTCATCTCTACAATAAATCAAAAATTAGCCGGGTGTGGTAGCGCACGTCTGTAGTTCCAGCTACTTGGAAGGCTGAGGCGGAAGGATTGCCGGAGCCCAGCAGGTCAAGGCTGCGGTAGCCGGGAGCGGCCACTGCACTCCAGTCTGGGTGACAGAGTGAGACTCCAACTCAAAAAATAAATAAATAAAGTAAGAACAAAACATATTCTCTAGTCAAAATTGTTCTGCGGCTCTTGTTAATAGTTGCAGAACATGTTATACTGTGCCTTGCAATCCTGGCTCCTCAGCCTGGAAGTGCAGCAAACATCCTTCAGGGGCCTAGTCAGGTGCCATTTTTCTTCTGCTTTCCCTGTTCTCTCCTCCTGTCCATATCTCCAAGTATAGCTTTCATGACATTGTTTTGTAATTGATTCCATGTCTGTCTCCACAAGTAGTCTTGAGTTCCTCTAGAGCAAGGATCCCTGTTTTATTTATGCAACTCCTCCCAGCTTAGTAACATGCAAATTGATGATGTCAATGAAATTCATTTTTGCTACATGAATAATGTTAACTTGAACTTAACCCCCCCCCCAAGTTGTGGGACATAAAAGAGACTCCAATTGGTATTTGGAGGAGAGATGTTTATGCTAGAACATTCCATTAACTTTCAGCAAACATGAAATTTAAATTGGAAAATGGAAGACAATATGCAGCCCTTGGGATAAATAATTAAAGTTAACCTTTCACTGTAAAACAGCACATTTACAGGAACATTTGTTGGCAATAATGCATTTTCCAACATGGTCCAAGATCTTTTCTAGGAGTGAATCTCAGGATCTGAACATGCTCTGAAGTGAATACACAGAGGTGATGTTTTGAAGGGAAGAATGGGCCTAACATTCCTTTTTATGTGAAGAACAAATAAGGTAAGATGGTTTGTGATCTAACTAGAGGTGCCTAACTCTCAAGAATTGGCTGCAGCAGGAATAAATCTTAGCAGTTCTTATAAAGAATGGAGTACCTAGGAGAAGAACAAGTTACTTCTCTGTTCCTTTATGCATATTTCTCTACTTTCCAAGAAACCTCATATTTTCAGGATCCTTTCTCCTCTTGGTACCTGTTTGATACAGTTTTGCTTCCCCTGGTCCCATAACTCTCCCCAGACTGCTGTCCTCTCTATTCACAATTGCTGTAAGGCATCATAATAGTCATTTATGTTTGTGGTTCATTGAACACATGCTTGCATCCTGTACTGTACTGTCTTATTCACAACAGTCCTGCCTCAGGACCTTTGTATATCTATGCCTTCTGCCTGAATGTTTTTGCCAGACATCATCTTCTTCCTTCAAGCTTCTATTAAGAAATCACTGATTCTCCAGACTATTTGGAACCCTCCATTTTATATACCACTCTCTATTTTTCATTTATGGGAATGGTTACATTATAGAACCTAAATAGTTACACAGTATTAAGATATCTGAACTCCCTGGTCGATTTTAAATTCGTGCTTTGACAGCTTGGATCTTTCTAACTTACCATGCTAAATTTTCAGCATTTAGCATTGTGCCTAGCATCCAAAAGGTGCTCAATAAACAGTTGTTAAACAAACATTATACAAAGTAAGTACTATAGGTGTCTTCACGTTAGAGAGGAGGAAGCTGAGTGAAAAAATTAACTTGCTCAACGTGACTCAACTACAAAGTGAGGAAGCTGATATTCACAAACACATCTACCATTATGATCCAGAGACATTAGTTTTACATACATCCCTCTCAAAAACTAGCTAAGTTGATTAAGAACAGTGATAAGAAAAGTTCTAAAGGTGTGACAAAAAAGATATCTAGGACCTCTGGAATAAGAAGGAAGATCTTGGGGATCAAAAGGCTTGAAGGAACTTTACTATCAGATAACAAATGGAAGGTCAAAGGTATTAGAGGATGAAAATACAAAGAGGATGAAAATGCAAAAGGGACTCCAGTCTTGTAGGAAAAGTGGAGGATCACTTTTGAACCTGCCAATCAATGCAGCATTATTTCTTGCAGGAAATGGTTCATGTCACTTAAGAACCATACTTCTAGCCGGGCTTGGTGGCTCAGCCTGTAATCCCGCGCCTTTGGGAGGCAGAGGTGAGTGGATTGCCTGAGCCCGCAGGTTCAAGACCCGTCCTGGGCAGCGAGACCTCATCTCTACAATAAATCAAAAAATCAGATGGGCATGGTAGCGCATGGCTGTAATTCCGGCTACTCAGAAGGCTGAGGCGGAAGGCTTGCCGGAGCCCAGCAGGCGAGGCTACGGTGGCCGGGAGCGGCCACTGCACTCCAGTCTGGGCAACCGAGTGAGACTCCAACTCAAAAAAAAAAAAAAGAACCATACTTCTGGCAGTCAGTGGGCCTTGTTATATTTCTGGGTTTGACTTCCAGCTCTGCTACTTACTAGCTATTGAGACCTCTGGAAAGTTTCTTAACCTCCCTGTGTTTTAGTTTCTCCTCCATAGGATTGGGGATAATAAGTACTTTTGATTAACGTTGATGGGAGAAGTAATATAGTTAAAATGTACAGATTAGTAGGTGGCCCAAAGTAATCACTTTATAAGCATTTTCTATTTTCTTGTTTTACAAATGACAGATGAAAGCTTGATGATCTATTTTTAAAAGCAGAACATGAAAAGGAGTGAAAATTAAGAAACCTTAGTTTTAGTATTCAGAAGGATGTAACACTTAGAAAGTCATCTGTTGACTAATAGAAAATATCAATCTGATCATGTATGTATAACTGACATTAAACGGTCAACTCAGATATGCACATATGCACTGGAAGCATATATACACATACTGTACCATATACCTTTATTTTCATTAACCTATATCCTGATTTTAATGAATTAGGTTTCCTGAAACCAGTGAGTAATGTGATGAAAAGGCTCAGAGGATCTCTTTATTGATACAAAAAAAAATTAGGAGGACTCTTCAAAACCGACAAATGTGAGAGGCTCCCAAATTCTATAACTTATTAGTATACATTCTGGTTATATCTTGAGTATACATGGCTTTCTTATTTTTATTTTTTCAGTTGAGTTCTCACTGTCACACAGGCTGGAGTGCAGTGGCATGATCACAGCTCACTGTAGCGTCGACCTCCTGGGCTTAGGCAATCCCTCCACTTTAGTCTCCAACAGCTGGAATTATAGACGCATGCCACTATGCCCAGCTTATTATTATTATTTTTCAAGGGGCTAGGTCTAACTATGTGGCCCAGGCTGATCTTGAGCGAGCTCAAACAATCCTACCTTGGCCTCCTGAAAAGTGATTACAGGCATGAACCACCATGCCTGACCGAGAGTAGATGGCTTTTTTCCCTTTTTTTTTTTTTGAGTTGGAGTCTCACTCTGTGGCCCAGACTGGAGTGCAGTGGCTGCTCCCTGCCACCACAGCCTCGACCTGCTGGGCTCCGGCGATCCTTCCGCCTCAGCCTTTCAAGTAGCCGGAACTACAGGCATGTGCTACCATGTCCGGCTGATTTTTTGATTTATTGTAGAGATGAGGTCTCACCAAGTTGCCCAGGCGGATCGTTTTTTCACTTCTACATTAGGGATAACATGAGGCAAGTATGTCTTGAATATTCTATCTATTTCAGCAAAAATACTTTTGTGGGTTTTTTTTTTTTTTTTTGAGAGAGAGAGAGATGAGGGTAGGGCAGTTGCTCTTTAGATGCACATTATTGAAGACTGGGCTTTGATGCTCCGTTGCTCTCATGTTAGCTGGCCAATTAATTATTTGCACTTAGCTAAAACTAAAACGTCTATCAGTATAAAGCAAGCTTACATCAACCTACAATATCCTGATTTTCTGCTATTTACTAGCTAAGTAGTCAGAGACAAGTTATTTAAAGCCTCTTAGCCTGCTCCTAGTTGTAAAATTGGAGTTATTACAGCACCTACCTTATGAGATTGTGTGAGATCTGAATGAGAAAATGCGTGTAAATTTTTAGATACTGTGCAAGGCATAAACACTCAAATGTTGCCCAAATCAATAAATGTCAGTCATTTTTAGCATGCTTTAGTGGGCTTATGTCACCAGTCAGAATAATGCATTGTTTAATTCATAGAGTTGCTTATGTAAATTAGCTATTAATAAGTTAACTCTAGGAACTTTTGCCATGGTTAATTTGAATAGTTAAAATTAATAATGGATAATCTTAAAAGTTCAGCTATTTGGAACTGCACACAATAACCATCATAATATTCTAATGTAAGGTACTATTGCCTATATAAACAAATGCTCTTTTTTTTGAATTGCAGTCTCACTCTGCCTCCCAGGCTGGAGTACAGTGGCACACTCACAGCCACCGCAGCCTCGACCTCCTGGGCTCAGACAATCCTTCCACCTCAGCCTTCCAGGTAGCTGGAACCACAGGCACATGTCACCACACCCAGTTAATTTTTTAATTTATTATAGAGACGAGGTCTCACCAAGTTGCCCAGGCTGGTCTCAAACCCATGGGCTCAGGCAATTCTCTTGCCTCCACCTCCCAAAGTGCTGGGATTACAGGTATGAGTCACCATGCCCAGCTACAAATGTTGTCTTTTAAACATTTCCATATTGCTAGAAGAGTTGCGCATGGATAGACAAAGTCCTACCTCTAGATCTTTATCCTCATCAATCTTTTGTATATTTTGGTAGGCAGCAGTGTAGAGCTCTAAAGCTTTCCCATGAAATGTCATTTCAATTGTGATGAAGTCTGAAAATATAGTCTAAAAAAACAAAGATTTGAATGTAAGCAATCATTTAGATTGGTTTATGAATTTAGAACATTTATTCCTCATTATAGCCTTGGAATTTAATGAAATGCAGAGGTATCTGTTTTTCTAGAGGGCAAATGAAGTACAAAACAACTGGGGAAAAAAGCCAAACAGTTGTAAAGACCTTTCACAGTGAAACCTCCAAATTATATATAGTATTTTCTGTTACCATTTTTATACTTTCCTCTTGTTTTTAATTTTAGTTAGCTCTCCTCTTTATACTCGATAATTGATATTTGTAATAAACATCTGACTAAAATGTCTATGCCTTATGTAGTCTGATATCACGTGCGTATGAAGTATTAGAGCAGTAGTTAAGAAGCTAATATTGCTGCAACTTCAACTGATGTTCAAACAATAGAATATGTTTAGACTCACACTCATTTTCCAGAGTACATGCCACTTATAGTCTTGAAACCTGAAGGAATTACTTGGTAATAATAACATTCTTACTACTGACAATCATACCATCCATTTGCATAGAGCTTTCCAATGGACAAATACAGACTTCCCTAGTGTTGCTCACAGCTAAACTGTTGAGATAAGAATATGATTCTAAAGTTCTAAGGTTACAGCTTTTGTCCAATAAAGTGTGCTGCAATCAGTCATTTTCTTCCCACATTTGCAGATAAGCTCTATCTGAATGTTTTTCTGTGAGCATGAAAAAAAACATATGACAAGGAGGATCATAAGCAAAGAATGAATGAAGATGTGCATATTGATCTAAGAAGGGGATGAGGTGATTTGTAGGTAGGGAAAAGATACAGACTAGTCAAGTTTTCAATTAATATGATCTTATCATTTTGCTAATTATCTTTTCCCAAAATAAAATTAAGCATTAATGTAGCATTAAAATCATAAAAGATTTTGGCAAATCAAGGGAAAAGGACAGCTCTCCAGAGCTCAGGCTATTCAAAAAGATGTCAGGAGAACTTTTATCCATTTGAAAATAATAGGTATCTATTCCATACTGTATACAAACCACAATTGTAAGATAAAATATTCACGTTTAAGATATTTAAAAATATAAAACCTAGAAGAAAATATAATCAAGTATTTCTATAATCTAGGGGATGAAAACCTTTCTAAGCTTGACAACAGGGCAGAAACCAAAAAGACCAATAAGTTAGGTAGCAAATAGAAATGTTCGGGGTACTCAAAACACTATGACTGTAAAACGAGAAAACATTTGCAACCAATTATCAGTTTAACATGAAGAACTACATTTCTTAATATAAAGGATTTTTATAAATTTTTAAGGAATGTCAACATCCAAAAGAAATAGAGGATAAGGACAAATGTCATTTACTAAATAAATATATTATTAAATACATGGAAAGATGCTATGCAATAATGCTATGCAAATGAGATACTGATTTTTGTGTGTGTGTGTGTGTGTGTGTGAGTTGGAGTCTCACTCTTGCCCAGGCTGGAGTACTGTAGCATGATCACGCTCCTGCAGCTTCAACCTGCTGCGCTCAGGCAATCTTCTGCCTCAGACTTCCAAGTAGTTGGAGCTACCATGCCCAGCTAATATTTTTTCTTTTTATTTATTGTAGAGATGAAGTCTTGCCAAGTTGTCCAGGCTGGTCTTGAACTGTTGTGCCCAGGCAATCCTTTTGCCTCGGCCTCCCAAAATGCTGGGATTGCAGGTATGAGCTACGGCACCTGGCAAGATGCTGATTTTTTAAAAAAATCTATTAAAAATAATACTACTTGTTGTACCTGTGCTCATGCAAGGTTCAGTAGGAATGTTAATTGATTGCACTTTTGTGGTCATTTTTTTTTTTTGAATCGGAGTCTCACTCTGTTGCCCAGGCTGGAGTGCAGTGGCACACTCATGGCCACTACAGCCTCACCCTGCTGGGTTCAGGCAATTCTTCTGCCTCCAGGTAACTGGAACCATAAGCATTCATCACCACACCTAGCTAATTTTTTGATTTATTGTAGAGACAAGGTTGTTGCTCAGGCTGGTCTCAAACCCCTGAGATCAGGCAATCCTCTCACCTCTGCCTCCCGAAGTGCTAGGATTACAGGCATGAGCCACCATGCCCGGCCTGTGGTCATAAATTTTAAAACTAGGTATTAAAATTATGAGTGTATGCTTTTTGAACAAGAAACTTCACTTGTTGAAATTTATCCCAAGAGAATAACTGGGCCAACAGAAAAGATGACATTTAAGGATGTATAATGATGCAGTGACATTTATAATTTAAAAATTAACCTAGATGTGCACCAATGAGGGGTGATTAATAAGCAAATATATCCATATTGAAGAACATGGTACCCAAATTGATATGGATCTCTGTTTCTTAGAATACCATGATAATACATTTTCAAAAGACACACTTTTATGGTCTCATTTATATATAACTCTTGGGGCTAAAAATAGTAACTTCCTCATGAGGTTGTTTTGAGGAGTAAATTATCCACAAAAATGCTTAGAGTGGTACCTGGCACATAGTCAATGTTTAAGAAATGTTTGTTATTGTTATTACCATATCTGTGTATCTGTGCATAGAGGAAAAGTCTGAAAGGATATAATAAAAATGCTGATTATTTTTCAGTGGTGAGATTATATTGTCTATAAAGTTCTATGATTTTATATTTATAATAAAAATTAAGCTACTAAAAATTAAGATGTTTCTTGTTTGTGCCAGCTACTTCAACACATACTGACCTCCTGTCTCTTTTTGTTCCAAGAGTAATCTCCGGCCAAGTACCTTTTTTGTAGATGTGAAATTCCCTTGACGTTCACCATATAATTGATGACTTTTTCTATTACATGGAAAACAAATGGGATTGTGATTTTTCTCTCTTGTTTTGTACACTAAGTTCTATACCAGCCTTTCTCACAAAGATACTCTTCGTAAAGTTCCTATGAAAAGTCTAAGAGTTGCATTGCCTTGCTCATGAATGTCATTAACCAAAATTTCAGTGGGCTTCTCAGTTAAAATCTACCTAAAAGACACAAATTGCTCACTACTGACAATCATTTCTGCTTCCAGAGTGGTGAAAGAAGGATCCTCAAGCTTTGCCTTCATTTGAAGCAGTAGCCCGACAAGAATAAAAACGTTCTAGGTTTATTTCTCCCCAAAATGAGAGGCATCAATAACTTTGACTTTTCCCAGAATTTGTCTCACACACAGAAATGTTTGTGAAATATGCTCAAATCAGTGTAGCAATAAATATCTAAATATTGTTCTCATTAGAAATAAGGAGGCTTGGCCGGGCTCGGTGGCTCAGCCTATAATCCCAGCGCTTTGGGAGGCTGAGGTGAGCAGATTGCCTGAGCCCGCAAGTTCGAGACCCGCCTGGGCAACTTGGTGAGACCTCATCTCTACAATAAATCAAAAAATTAGCTGGGCGTGGTAGCGCGCACCTGTAGTTCCAGCTACTTGGAAGGCTGATGCGGAAGGATCGCCAGAGCCCAGCAGGCGAGGCTGCGGTGGCCGAGAGCGGCCACTGCACTCCAGTCTCAGCGACAGAGTGAGACTCCAACTCAAAAAAAAAAAAGAAATAAGGAGGCAGTGGTGTAACTGTTTCTGGCTGATCATTAAGGCTATTGTTACCATGACATTTCTGCATGCCTCTTTATTATAAGAGACCCAAAAATGGGGCCAAACTTGGAAAAGAACCAGTTTGCCGATGATGAGGAAAGATGCCAGAATGGAGAGGTTCAGACACACAACAGGCTCTGATATTGATATCTGATGCTCATATTTCTGGGAATTTGCTAAGCCTATAGGAGTTTGCATTGTAAGTTGTCTACATGATTTTGAATGTAGAGAATTTTAAGAAAACCACTTAAAAGATTAGAAGTAATAATCAAGTTTGTTAAAGTAGTAGCATATAAGGTCAACTGAACCAAACGATTTTTGGTCAACAGAACCAAAATCAATTGTATTTCTATACGTTTGCAGTGAACAATCTGAAAATAATTTATAATAGCACGTGGATGTGTAAAATATTAGGAAAATTTTAACAAAGGGAATGCAAAATTTATACTCAGAAAACTACAAATGTTGTTTAAAGAAACTGAGGAAAATTCAAATAAATGGAGAAAAACCCATATCCATGGATTGGAAGAATTCATTCCAATACTGTCAATACTCCTCAAATTTATCTGCACATGTGATTCAATCCCCATCAGAACCCCAGCTGCTGCCTTTGTGGAAATTCATAAGTCCATTCTAAAATTTATGTGGAATTGCAATAGATCCAGAATAGCCAAGTCAATATTAATTTTTCAGGATGGTGAAAAGGAAGACTCACATAGACTGATTTAAAACTTACCTCAAAGCAAAATAGTGTGATACTGGCATAAGGATAGACACATAGATAATGAAAAAGAATTAGAATTCTGAAATAAAGCTATATCAATTGATTTTCAACAAAGTTGTCAAGGTCATTCACTGGGGAAAGAATAGTCTTCAACAAATGATGTTGCAACAACTGGATAGTCACATGCAAAAGAATGACATTTAACCTTTAGCTTACACCTTATTCAAAAATTAAGTGAATCAAAGACATATGTAAGAGCTAAAACTATAAAAACTACCAAAAGACATAGGGATAAAGCCTCATTATTTCAAATGAGCAACAAAAGAAAAGATAGATAAATTGGACACCACCCCGATTAAAAACTTGCCCTTAAAGAACTCCAACAAGAAAGTGAAAACAACTTGCAGAATCGGAGAAAATAATTGCAGATTATTTATCTGATAATGGACTTCTATCCAGAAAATATACATATATGAGACTTCCCATAACAAAAAGAATGAAATTCATATATGAGCAAAAGATCTGAATAGTTGTTTCTTCAAGGAAGATATACGTAAATGGTCTTTAAGCATCCTAAGAGAAAGCAATTCAAAACTATAATACCAGGTGTGGTGAACTCATGGCTGTAATTCCAGTACTTTGGGAGGATGAGGTGGGAGGATCACTGGAGACCAGGAGTTTGAGACCAACCTGGACAACATGAGACCTCATTTCTACTAAATATAAACAAACTCCAATGAGCTACTACTTCAAAGTAGTAGGACATTAATTTTTCAAGATGGAACAAAGTAGGAAGACTCACAGTCTAATTTAAAGCTTGCCTTAAGGCAATGTTAATCAAAATAGTGTGATACTGGCATAAGTATAGACATATAGATAATGAAAAAGAATTAGAATCCTGAAATAAAGCTACATCAACTAATTTTCATTAGGATGAAATAATTTTCACTAGGATGGCTACAATCGAGAAGTCTTATGAATAGCAAGTAATTGGAACCTTCACATTGCTGGGGGTTAAATATAATGGTGTACTCGCTTTGGAAAACTAGGATGAAGCATAGAGTTACTAACGATCCACAATTTCCCTCCTAGGTATATACCCAAGATAAATGAAGGAAAGCTTGTATGTAAATGCTTCTATCAGCATTATTCATAATAGCCAAAAGGTGGAAACAAACCAAATATCAACTAATAAGTGGTAAACAATATGTGGGAACATCCATACCATGGAATATGATTAGGCCATAAAAAGGAATGAAGTGCTGACACATCCTACAACATGAATAAGTCTTGAATACAGGATATATAAAAATCAGTCAGTCATCAAAGTCAACATAGTTCCTGACTTACTTCATATGAAATGTCCAGTGTACCTCAGTCCATAGAGATAAGGATGATTAATGGTGGGCACCCAGTGCTGGGAGGCAGGAAAGTAAAGAAGTGTACAAGGTTGGGGTGAGAAAATGTTCTAAGACGGAATGGTAACGGCTGCACATAACTGTGAATAACAACCAATGAGTTGTACACTGTGAATTACAGAATTACATCTCCATTTTTTTTTAAGTTTAGGTTTTTCCTGTCCTTGTTTTTTCTTCGTATGACCATCAGAAGACTTCCTTGTTTGGGGGGCATAATCTAGCAGACAAGGGGAAGAGCCTGGAAGCTTTTTCTTCTCTGTGCATACTTCATTGTGCAGCCCTTCGCTCCCCCTCTCCTACTGCTTTATGAAATCCCAGGTAGTAAGAATTGCAGTCAGAAAGTCTCCTGTCACCTCTGCCCAGTTTTGTAGTCAGGGAATTAAAACCACCTGTAGGGTAGCCAGCATGTAGGTAGCACACAGCAGTGAGCCCAAAGATTAGAGCAGAGATGCATTTTCAAGTGTAAAAGATATTTTGCAGGCTTGAGGAATAGTGGGGTGCGGGGTCAGACCACATCATTCAAGAAGTTCTTAGATGGCCGTGGAATTGGGCATGCCTCACAAGATCCATTCCCATGTTCAGGTTATAGCAAATTACAGTCTTAACAGTCATCCTTTCCCTCCCTCAATTTAAGAGAGGATGTCACCAAGCATGGTGGTGCACACCTGTAATCCCAGCACTTTGGGAAGTGGAGGCAAGAGGATTGTCTGAGCCTAAGGGTTCAAGACCAGCCTGGACAACTTGATGAGACCTCATCTCTACAGTAAAGCAAAAAATTAGCTGGGTGTGGTGGTGTGTGCCTGTGGTTCCAGCTACTTGGAAGGCTGAGGTGGAGGGATTGCCTGAGCTCAGTAGATTGAGGTTATGGTAACCGTGACTATGACACTGCACTCCAGCCTGGGCAACAATGACTCTGACTCAAAAAAGAAAAAGAGGACATGAGCAGGTGTCCAGCTTTCTACCCTAACCATATTCTCCCAGCTTGATAAAAAAGTCTGGCTCAGGATAGCCTCCTGAGATGCTCTTCTGTAAGTTGCCATCTACTATTACACAGTAGGGTGCAGAGCCTGTGACTGAATTGAGAGGTGCTGAAATTCTTTGAAACTATGATAGGAAGTTAAGGAAAATAAAAGATGCACATGAATGTTGTTTCACGAATTTAGGAGAGGAATGGTATACAACTAAGTAGCAGAAAGTACTTATTTTATTGATAAAAACATAGCTAATGAAAGCAGATTTCTCTGTCAGCAACAATAGAAAACTTCTGTTTAAAGCTTGTTATAGGCAGCCAGACACAGGGGCTTATGCCTGTAATCCCAGCACTTTGGGAGGAAGAGGCTAGAGGATTGTCAGACCTCAAGGGTTGGAGACAGCCCAGGTAACTTTTTTTTTTTTGGAGTTGCAGTCTTACTCTGTCACATAGGCTGGAGTGCAGAGGCACACTCGCAGCCAATACAGCTTTGACCTGCTGGGCAACTTGGCGAGACCTCATCTCTACAATAAGTTTTAAAAAATTAGCTGGGTGTGGTAGCGTGCACCTGTAATTCCAGCTACTTGGAAGACTGAGGCGGAAGGATCATCTGAGCCCAGCAGATCAAGGATGTGGTGGCTGCGAGTGTGTGGTGGCTGGAGTGCCATTGCACTCCAGCCTTGGTGACAGAGTGAGAGTCCAACTCTAAAATAAATAAAACTTATTACAGGAATATCTACATTGAGAGAAAAAAGACATCCTGAGATGAATCTTAAAGTCTATAAGGGGGTTATAAACAATCCTTAAAATCTTTTACTTTTTTTTTTATTTGGGTCTCACTTTGTTGCCAAAGCTGATCCTAACATTTTGAGATTAGCGATGTGAACCTCTGTGCACAGTGCCCAGACTTTTTTTTACCCCAAATAAACATAGGGTCTCTGTATGTTTCCCAGGCTGGTCTTAAACTTCTGGGTTCAAGCAATCCCCCATCTCAGCCTCCCAAAGGGCTGGGATTACAGGTATGAGCCACCATGTCAGGCTAATCCTTCAAATTTTTCCAAGATGCCTATTAAAGAGTTAGTGATGATGAACTGAATTTCATGATCCAAAAGAAAGTTTCAGACCTACTGATGTGTTACAATAAAGGAAGGCAATTCTTCTTATTTTGTTGACTAAGGCACCATATCACTCTGGATGCAAATCTGTATGTTTGGTTATTGTTATCCTGTTTACTTATTAATGATAGTGAATTATAATGGAACACAGATTTCTTTAAAACTTAATTGTTTTATGGTTCATATTTCTAGCTATGGCACTTTGGGTAAGTCACTTTACGTCTCTGCTTAATTTATTAATAACACCACCTCATTGTCATGGGGTTGCTGTGAAGACTGAAGGATAATTTATGAAAAGTACATGAAATAGCTCCTAGTATATAAAAACACAGCAAATGATAGTTTACTTCATTAAGTAGTATTTGTGATAAAAGGGTAAATATTTGGCCTCTCGTTGGGAATGTTGGCCCTTTTTGTAGCATTGTTCCCATAAGAAAATAAGATTTCATATATTTTCATTTACTTTTGTGTTAAAGACTACTTCCGGGCTAAAAATCAGAGTTATTTAAAATTTTGGTAAGTTTAAATTAAAATATAAGGAAAAAGCTTGTTTTGAACATTAACAGTTGCTTTAGTACCTTTATATCCTTTATTTTCTTCTTTTCAAAATTGTCAATAGTTTCCTCCAGGTGATGACTTGTTCGGGTTGCAGCAATTGTAGCTCTATGTAATTCACTTTCTGCCTACAAAAGTATTCCATACACAAAGATATGAAAAATAAAATCAGAATGCATTCAGTTGAGCCTATTGGTAAATGTTACCATTGCAGTACTGGCTTTTAGATATCAATGTAAATTGTTCAATATGACATTTTATCACATAAAATGAAATGATCTATATAAGCACATAGAAATAACAAGCTTAGAGCCATTAAATGACATGATTCATGATCTCAAAACAGAACAAAAATCGTTTCTTTTCACAAAATCACCCTTCAAAGCAATTTTGGAACTCTTTTCTCTGTAAAGGCCATCAGAGTTGTCATTGTATTACCTTTGATGTCCTTAATGTTATCAAAATAGCTTCTTTTCAATATTTCCTTTATCTTCAGGTAAAGAAAAAAGTTGCTGGCACATGCTTGTAGTACCAGCTACTTGGAAGGCTGAGGCAGAATGATTGCCTAAGCCCAGCAGGTTGAGGATACCATAGCCAAAAGCATACTCCTGCACTCCAGCTTGGGCAACAGAATGAGACTCAAACTCAAACTCCAAAAAAAAAAAAAAAAATATATATATATATATATATATATATAAAATTGGGAGCCAGATCAGGTGAGCAGGTGAGTAGGACAGTTGTTCCAATACAGTTACTGGTTTATTGGGTAAAAACTCCCTCAAAGACAGTGCTGTGTGAGCTAGTGCATTGTCATGATGCAAAAGCTCCTTTGGGACCATTTCTACACACACCTTTCTCATGCCAAGATTTTCAGTTAACATTTTCCTGTTTCTCTATTGATGTTTATTTTGTCTGTTATGCTTCTCAAAGTCAGCTGATGATTCTGATATACAATTCGATGAATTTTTGCAATGTTTTTGTCAGTTCTGCTTGTTACTGGTCATCCTGAACTCTTCATCTGTGACACTTTCTCTTCCCTCAAAAAAACGTTTAATACATTTGTACACTGTCGTTTCCTTCATGACATTATCCTTATAAACTTGGATTAACATATCTCTAATTTAGTTTCCATTCTTGCTAAGTTTAACAAAAAATTTAATGTGTGTTCATTGTTGTAATTCAAGCTCCGACATTCTTGCGACAGTACACAAAAAGCATGCAACAACAATAATGAACGCCACTCAGCAAGACACTGCCACACATCAACACGAACACAGCTGGGAAACCCTGATAATACCAAGGTTATGAAACCTTACTGAGTCGTTCATACAGTGCTGTCAACGTAAGTGCACGGTGTCAAGTTCATGAACTTAATTGTCACACCTTGTAAACTAAATGGCAAGTCTAATTCTTTGCTTTAGACATTCTGACAGATAATCATAATCTCTAGATCTGTGTTGTACAATCAATATTGTGGCCACTAGCTATGTGTGGCCCTTTATATTTAAATTAATTACAATTAAATGATATTTTAAAAATTGGTTGTTCTAGTTGCATCTCAAGAGCTCAAGAGCCATATTATCGCTGGTGGCTACAGTACTGTCAAGTGCAGAACATTTCCAATCTCATCATGTATTTCTCCTTAAGCATTGCTTCCTTTAGAACATAGTTGCCCCAAAACATTTTTTATATATATTTTGAGTTGGGTCTGCACTTGGTCACCCAGGCTTGAGTGCAGTGGCAGGATCATGGCTCACCACAGTCAGGCGATTCTTCTGCCTCAGCCTCCCAAGTAGCTATGACTACAAGCGTGCAACCACATCTGGCTAATTTTTTTTTTTGTACAGACGGCATCTCACTGTGTTGCCCAGGCTGGTCTCAGATGGCTGGGCTCAAGCAGTCCTCCCACTTTGGTCTCCCAAAGCGCTAGGATCATGGGTGTGAGCCTCCACACCTGGCAAAATTGTTTCTTTTTTTTTTTTTCCTTTTCTTTTTGCAACTTTGATCTGCTGGGATCAGGTGATCCTTCCAACTCAGCCTTCCACACAGCTGAAACTATAGGCACATAACACCATATCTGGCTAATTTTTGGACTTATTGTAGAGCTGAGGTGTTGCCATGTTGCCCAGGCTGGTCCCGAGCTACTGGACTCAAGCAATCCTCTTGCCTCCGCCTCCCAAAATGCTGGGATTATAGGCATGAACCACTGCATCCAGCCAAAATTTTTTCTTTTTCTTTTCTTTTTTTTGAGTTGGAATTGCACTCTTTGTCGCCCAGGCTGTAGTGCAGTGGCACACTCATGGCCACTGCAGCCTCGACCTGCTGGGGTCAGGCGATCCTTCTGCCTTAGCCTATCAAGTAGCTGGAACTACAGGCATGCATCACCACGCCCAGCTAATTTTTTGATTTATTGTCGAGATGAGGTCTTCCCAAGTTGCCCAGGTTGGTCTCAGGGTTCAGGCAATCCTCTCATCTCTACCTCCCAAAGTGCTGGGATTGCAGGCATAAGCCACTGCACTAGGTGATTTTTTCTTAAACAGTTGAAGTAGAAAGAAATTTTAAAAGATATAGTCCAATATTCCAATTACATTCTTTCTAGTAAAGTTTTGTTTCCTATGCTAGCATTATATTTACTCAAGTTTCATATATCATCATTTAATAATCATGAGAAAAACTTGAATTTGTCATCAAAGTTCTGAGATATGCAATAATATCATGACATTTGGCCCTTGCTTTCCTTTGCAAGAAAATGTATAAATTGAAACAAGTAAAAGGGTTTACTACAAGGATCCACTTCTTGACATGCCCCTTTATCACTCACCTGTGACTGAAATTTTTCATAAAGGAATAAATACGGATCAAAGAGAGTATAACTTTTTTCAATATATATATATATATATATATATATTTTGAGTCAGAGTCTTACTCTGTTGCCCAGGCTGGAGTGCAGTGGTATGCTCACAGTCACCACAGCCTCGACCTGCTGGACTCAGGTGATCCTTCAGCTTCAGCCTTCTAAGTAGCTGGAACCACAGATACACGCCACCACACCCAGCTAATTTTTTTGATTTATTGAGGTCTCGTCAAGTTGTCCAGGCTGGTCTCGAACCCAAGGGCTCAGGCAATCCTCTCTTCTCTGCCTCTCAAAGTGCTGGGATTACAGGCGTGAGCCACCACGCCCAGCTAAAAGAATATATTTTTCTAGAATACTATACTATTATATACTCTCATAATTAGGTTGTATATTAATTGTTTGTATATATTGATTATACACTGAAATAATTAGATCCATTTGTCAATTTGAAGATACTTAGCACTTAAAAGGAGATTTATACATTTCTCTCTGTATACATTTACCAGATGGGGTGTAAACTTTTTTAAACCACACCAATTTTCAACCTAATCATAACCAGGAATCAAAAATAATCCCCTTTATTACTGAGCTTGGGATTCTTTAAACTGTAACCTGATCACAGGAAACTCAAAAGTAAGAGAGCTTCCTTGAAGAATAATTAGTATTAAAAAACTCAGTTATTTGACAAAGGTTAGTCTTTTGCTAATGAAAATATTCAAGCAGGCTAATTTCTTTTTCTTTTGAGTTGGAGTCTCACTCTGTCGCTCAGACTGGAGTGCAGTGGCCGCTCCCGGCCACCGCAGCCTCGCCTGCTGGGCTCCAGCGATCCTTCCGCCTCTGCCTTCCAAGTAGCTGGAACTACAGGCGCGCGCTACCACGTCCAGCTAATTTTTTTTATTGTAGAGATGAGGTCTCGCCAAGTTGCCCAGGTGGGTCATGAACCCGCGGGCTCAGGCATTCCTCTCACCTCAGCCTCCCAAAGGCGCGGGATTACAGGCTGAGCCATCGAGCCCGGCTAAGCAGGCGAATTTCTAATACTGTTAATTATATGTAACTGATGCTGTTTTTTATTTGTGACCATCTCTTTTTGACTCATGCCTTTCTTCTTCTCATATACTGATATTTTTAATTTAAAATTGGGATGAGTAAGTGGAGTTGGCTAAACAATGAAAGCAGAAGGAAACAGAGGCCATAGCTGGGATAGATGCATCTTAAACTTTTTTAAAATAAAAAAAAGAAATCTTTAACATATGTGTGTATATGTGTGTGTGTGTATACTTTTGTGTGTGTGTGTGTGTGTGTGTGTGTGTGTGTGTGTGTGTGTGTGTGTGTGTATACTTTTGGTATGTGTGAAGATGAGGGTCTGGGCTGGGTACGTTGGCTCATGCCTGCAATCCTAGCACTTTGGGAGGCCAAGGTGGGAGGATCGCTTCAGTCTAGGGTTCAAGACCACCCTGGTCAAAATAGAGGGAACTTGTCTCTACAAAATAAAAAAATTAGTTTGGCGTGGTGGTATATACCTGTAGTTCCAGCTGCTTGAGAGGCTAAGGTGGAATGATTGCCTGAGCCCTGGAGGTTGAGGCTGCAGTGACTCATGATCATGCCACAGAGTGAGACCTCAACTCAAACAAAACAAAACAGATGGCGAGGTCTTGTTTTTTTGCCCAGGCTGGTCTTAAACACCTGGCCTCAAGAAATCCTCCCCGCTTTGGCTTCCCAGAGTGTTGGGATTATAGGTGTGAGCCACTGTGCCAACCCATCTTAACCTTCTATCGTCCTCCAGCAACTACTACTACTACTACTATTTATTTCTTAAATTTTCAGATCCCTTCACTCTAGCATGGCATCTCACCCAAACTCACATGGCTATAGATTTTTCTTTTCTTTTTTGAGTTGGAATCTCACTCTGTCACCCAGGCTGGAGTGCAGTGGCATGCTCACGGTCACCGCAGCAATCTGCTGGGCTCTAGTGAACTTTCTGCCTCAGCTTTCCAAGTAGCTCAAACTACAGGCATGTGCCATTGCGCCCAGCTACTTTTTTGATTTATTGTAGAGATGAGGTCTCGTCAAGTTGCCCAGGCTGGTCTCAAACCCGTGAGCTCAGGCAGTCCTCTCACCTTGGCCTCCCAAAGTGCTAAGCCACCGCACCCAGCCAAGAATATAGATTTCTAGTATTTCTTCCTCTCACTGAAAATTCTTCAAAATCCTATACTGTACCCTTTGGGTAGAAAAGAATTTTGATTCAAATATAAGATAAAGCTTCATGAATATCAATATCAGTATATTAAATGGTATGAGTTGAGAGTTGAAAATGACTTATAAAAGGGTAAGCCAGATTGGTGTTTCTCAAACGGTTCCAGGAAGCTTGTTCAGAAGCCACCTGGGGCCAAGCTTAGGGACTGAACAGGTAGAGCCTGGGGACTCTTCTTTACGCATCCTCTTGTTATCAGAGGTACAGCATACTTTTTTTTTTTTTTTTTTTGAGTTGGAGTCTCACTCTTGTTGCCCAGGCTGGAGTGCAGTGGCACTCTCACGGCCACTGCAGCCTCAACCTTAGCCTTTCAAGTAGCTGGAACTACAGATGTACAATACCACGCCTGTCTAGTATTTTTTTGTGATTTATTGTAGAGACGAGGTTTCACCAGGTTGCCCAGGCTGGTATTGAACCCATGGGCTCAGGCAGTCCTCTTGCCTCGGCCTCCCAAAGTTCAGGGATTACAGGCTGAGCCACCACGCCTGGCCAGCATACTTCTTCTAAATAGAAGGATTTTAAGGGTCCATCCTGGTAAAAATTCTATGATACTATGACTGAATATTTTAATCTTTACATTGAATACATTTATATGTAGATGGTCCTTTATTTTTTGGTCTCAGGTTATCAAATCTGAGTGAATGAGCAAAGTGATTTATGTGTAGTAATCATCTCTTCAGGTGTATTTCTTCCCCCATGTGAACTCACAGACCTGCTTTATCTAGGCTCTAAGATGACCTCTCTTGCACAACAATGTTTATAGCAGAGCCTAAGTCAGAAAAATCTGTGTCTTAGGAATAGATCCATTTCTGTGTTGTGTTGATACCAATACGCCTAATTCAATCTTACCAACATTCCAGGTATTACAATTTACTACCTTAGTATAGCTTTCATATCCCCGCCCCAGAAGAGAACAACAACAATAACAACAAAATTCTGATCTCTAGTTTAATTCCTAACCACTGGAGACACTCCTGCCTTGCTCTCTAGTTGTCAGTCATTAATTTTCCAGCAATCTCTTGTTTGTCTGACTTACTTAAAGCATAGTCTTTATAACCTCCAGTGTGCAAATATTTTTTTTTTTTTTAAGGTGGAGTCTCATTCTGTCGCCCAGGCTGGAATGCAGTGGGATGCTCATGGCCACCCCAGTGTCAACCTGCTGGGATCCGGTGATCCTTCCGCCTCAGCCTTCCAAGTAACCGGAACTACTGACGCACGCTACCACACCCAGCTAAATTTTGATTTATTGTAGAGACAAGGTCTCACCAAGTTGCCCGGGCTAGTCTCAAACCCGTGGGCTCAGACAATTCACTCACCTTGGCCTCCCAAAGTGCTGGGATAACAGGCTGAGCCACAGAGCCCAGTCCAGTGTGCATTTCTTAAGCCTCAAAAACTCTAGATATTCCTGTCCCAGCCTCCAGTGGGCACTCCCAACCCTAAGGCTGCCCATTTTTCATTAGCACAAAATTGGGTTTATATACTTTTGGTCCAAGGAAGAAGGACCAAGCAACTAGTACAGCCCCAAATCACTGCTCAAGGGCCTCCCTTCAGGAATGGAGGTATTGGAGGGAACTCCAAGTGCCCTTAAGAGCCATTTCTCTTGTGTTTGTGGTTTTGGCTGAGCTAGGCAGTAACAACCTTAAGAAAGCAGGGAGGAGACAGATAAGAAGGAAAGGAGAAAAGAGGCAGCAGGGATATTAGTGCTTCCTACACCATTCTGCCTATGCCAGCAATTAATGAAGCAATCTTGTATATTTTGTTTACACATGAACAAATCACATTCTAGTTAAAGAAATAGTCATGTTTGACAGTTCTTACAAAAAAATATTAAAAACAAAAGCAAACACCCCTCAGCAAATCTTCATCATATGCAAGACAAGGGCAAAAAAAATATAATAATAACAGTCATGTTTAAGAACTTTGTTACAGTAGACACTCCTATCTAGATCCCTTTGTATCCAACTTGGACCTCAATTATACATTTAAATTTCCAGAGAATCACTAACTGAAAGGCATCATTATGGTTTTATGCATTTGTTTTATTTTTAAAAGATAAAGGGAATTATAATAGAAAGATTATCTTTCCTGTTCTCAAAAGCAGGGCAGAGAGGACACTGATATATTAGGATAAATGATAGTTATTTAAGTTAATTTCATAATTAATATTTAGTCATCACTCTGTGAAAAAAAATCAGAAATCTGAATGTACTGTATAAAAACATCTGCTTTGGCCAGGCACTGTGGCTCACACCTATAAACCCAGAATATTGGGAGGCTGACTTGGGAGACTACTTGAGCCCATGAGTTCAAGACCAGTCTAGGCAATATAGTGAGACCTCATCTCTACAAAAACTAAAAAAGTAAAAGCCAGGCATGGTGGCATGCACCTATAGTCCCAGTTACTTGGGAGGCTGAAGCAGAAGGATCACCTGAGCCCAAGAGGTTGAGGCTGCTGTGAACCTTATCAATGCCACTCCACTCCAGCCTGGGTGACAGAGTGAGACCCTGACTCAGAAAATAAATAAATAAATCTGCATTTACAACTGAATTTGTTTTCTTTGAAAACTCTATTATATAACATAATATTGAGGGGGCTCATCTCTTTAAAATTAATTAATTTCTATAGTAAGGATTCCTAAACATGTTTTTTTTCAACCTTTATACTCAAATTTTCCACTCATTTAAAAGTAAAAATGTGGCCGGGCACGGTGGCTCATGCCTATAATCCCAGCACTTTGGAAGGCCGAGGTAAGAGGATTGCCTGAGCCCGCGGGTTCAAGACCAACCTGGACAACTTGGCTTATCTCTACAATAAGTCAAAAAATTAGCCAGGCATGGTGGCATGTGCCTGTAGTTCCAGCCACTCGGAAGGCTGAGGCAGAAGGATCGCCTGAGCCCAGCAGGTCGAGGCTGCAGTGGCTGGGAGTGTGCAACGGCCCTCCAGCTTGGGTGAGAGAGTGAGACTCCAACTCAAACAAAAAAAAAGTAAAAATGCACAATTACCATGCGCATTTACTTTTGTACTGCATTCCTTACAAAGCATTTGTTAAAAGACCAAAATTCAAAGGATACAATAACATGTCGATCGGATGGGTTTCGCTGGCGTGTTCTTTCTAATTGAATTAACTGCTTAGCTTCTTGATTCCTTGCTCTTAATGTTTCTTTGAGGTCGTCCTGCAAATAAGCATTGTTTGTGAATAAAATTTTCTGATTTAAGAAATAAAATACACACATTCTGTGTTTGATTTATTATAGAGATGAGGTCTTGCCAAGTTGCCCAGGCAGGTCTCGAACCCCTGGGCTCAGGCAATCCTCTTGCCTCCGCCTCCCAAAGTATTGAGATTATAGGCATGAGCCACCACGCCTGGCTTTCCACACATTTTAAAAGCCTAAATGTTATCACCTGCTTTGAAAGAAAAAATATAAACTTACACTCATATAATAAAGCAATTTTTATATATATATATATTCTTCATGATTATAAATATTCAATAGTTTAAAGCTTCCGTAATAATGTCTTATGCTGCTACAATAATACTCTCAGGCACACTAAAAGTATTTCATTATTCTCAAAGATCTAAAAAGTGATCTTTCAGAGTATGTAAAAACAATGACTACATGATACTTTGTACTTTCTATTACAAGGACAATTGGAAATCTCATATTCTTTGCCTAATATTAGGTGAAAAAAATAAATTTCCTTACCCGTTTAATTTTTACAATGTTCCCATAAGCTTTCAAAGGTTCAACAACTTTGGTTTCAAGTCTTTCAACCTATGACAAATTAGTATAAAATATAACTGAAAAGAAACATAGACATACCAAAATTTAAATTCTGAACTAAAATTTATACATTTGAATTGAACATAATTACTCTAGAGATTAATGTTTTTAAAACTTTAAATTAAAATGGCACTGTTTATCCTATTTTTAACCTGTAAATAAAAGGGTATTCACAGAAATTAAGACTCAAAATCTCAAACACATGAAAAACAGCTCAGGTGTACACTAACAGAAAAAGCAGAAAAGCACCTGATATGCAATAAGACAAGAAACTGTCTCAGGCCTCTGAGGAGCTCATCCCTGCCATAGCATCATCTGAGTATTACCTCTATGCATTAAGGTAGTAGTTTCAGGGCAAGTTTTAAGATATCTCAAATTTTAACACAGCTACCATTATCAGTATGTTTTGCACACTTTACATATACAGAGGTGCCAAAAAATGTATTCATGTTTTAAGAAAGAAAAAAAACTGTATTAAAATTATAATACTCAATATATACCAAAACAAAAGATGAATACAAGTCACATTTGACTTCTGCAATTACACTTTACTACAGTAATACAACTCTACTTTGAAAAGCAATACATTTTTTTGGCACCCCCGGGTACTATCTCTGCGTCATAATAGTGCACCCTTCCAGAAAAGAAAATTTGAAGCTGTTTGATAAAGGACAGTGGATATATTTATTAATAAAGCAACACAACTTTCAAAAGCAAATATCCTTAGGGATCACTGTATTAGCTGCATGTTTGTCCTGAGAAACCACTGGTGAACTGTCAAAGCCTAGAGAATAAAACACATGTTGCGGAGCAGTCACACTGTATGACTGATCGCTTTAGTTGGAATTAAACAACTTTTCTTATGCATTATAGATTGTTAGTCACATTCTGGGTCATTACTTCTTTCATTAACAGCACTACTGGAAGACATGGAAGAGACAGATTTTTCTTAAAAGCAAGAATATTGATACAGCACAAGAAAAATGACTTGGACGTTAAACTTTTGTCTCAGGATAGGTAATGTAAGTGACATGTATTTAATTGCCTAAAATGAATATGTATTTTTTAATAGCAGGAAAAAGGCTCTTATATGATAATTGTTTATATAATTAATGAGTTCATTTCATATTGATTTTTCTTTAGTTTCTAAAAATAAAATGTGTTTTATTCTGAAAGATTTTAGAAAAACGTATTAGGAATCCTGAAATCATGAATATGCAGGAGAGTTTAGCCACCATTTCACCAAATCCATACACTGATGATTCAGCATAAGGAAGACTCGCATCTTCTTTCTGTTCTCTTTTGTGTTTCTACCTTTTGTCATGTTCACTAGTACCTCACCACTTGATAAGCAAGGAGATAGAAGAGGAACACATGTCAAGCAGTTAACTTTGCTCTCTGATAAACAGCATAAAGGTTTTCTTGAATGGAGTACTGAAATTATTGGCTAAATGGGATTTTAGGATTATGTGTGACTATAAATCAGTTTTGAGACATTAAAATCCTCAGTTATGTATAACTGAGAGTTGCTTATCCATTACAAAAGAAGTGTCATAGGACAAGAACTCAATCTTTTCCCAAAAAGTACCCGGAAATGTGATTACTTATCAGATTCTTGTATGGAGAGCAATGATGGGTTCAAAAACTCACATTCTCATCTTATTTTTTTAAACATTGAAATTCCTGTTTCAGGGTTTAAAAAAGGACCAAAAGCACTGATGAGAAAAATACAAAACAAGCAATGCCATTCTAGCTTGGCAACTTCTGACAAGTTAACCTTCTGAACCCAAACAAATAAAAGTGTAAGTGCTTAAGGAACAGCGTATCAGTGAAAAAATAGGTTTAAGAAAGAACCATCACAAAAATACCTCCCCTACCACTCAAAACAACACTCCCCCACAATGTCTCACTGCTACTGGTTTGCTTCCATGCTATAAATCATAGCTTTTGGGGAGGGCAGTCAACAAGGCATTGGTCTTTTTTGGATCTCACTGTTACCCTGGCTGGAGTGTAGAGGCACCTTCGTGATGCACTGCAGCCTGGCCCTCTTTGGCTCAGGCAATCCTTCCACCTCAGCCTCCAGATTGGCTGGGACTACAGACATGTGCCATCGCGCTTTCCTGATTTTTTGTGGAGAAGAGGTCTGGCTATGCTGCCTAAGCTGTTCTCAAACTCTGGGTTCAAGCGATCCTCTTGCTTCAGTTTCCCAAAGTGCTGGGATTACAAGTGTGAGCCATCAGCGTCCAGCCTTCCAGTCATGGTTTAAAATCTAAATACTGACAGCAGACACAAGCCCTGCTTCTCTTCTTCCACAAGGGTAGTATGCATACTCCTATAAATGGCCACCCCTTGGCCAAAAGTTGACAATAAAGGTGGGAAATTCGAGACTTCAAGACACCCTAAAGTTTCGTTTGAAAACCGTCACAGAAACCACAAAACTCCTCCCTGGAAGAGACTCACACGCTGTGACAGACGAAAATGTATGTTTTTCATCAAGTGTGTGTCCCCTGCAGGGAGGTGGGGGATAGATGACAAGTCAAAGTCTCCTGTGTTCCCTCACCCAGGACCACAGGGCTCATTCCTCACGATGACGCTGTGACCTGGCCATACCTCTGCCTGCCGGTAATCCTGAAGTTTGGCAAACTCATCAGCCACGTTTTGGAGGCCCTGCTTGAGATGCGGGGTCTCGGTGGAGGCATACAGGTTGAGTTCGTTCACCAGGAGGTCGGCTTTGTCGCGCAGCCGGGCGGTTTTCCGCACGTAGGCGGCGAAGATTTGGCACAGTTCTCCAAAATGCTTCTCCACGTTTGTGACAGCATCTTGCAGCTGTCTGGTCTGAGCGTCCCTAGAGAAAAAGGTGACAGCACAAGCACAAAATCCCCGATAGAGATGAGAAGGCTCCAGGCTCATTAGAGATGCGAACATTGCCAGGCCTTCAGCGGCTTCGAAGGCGCAAAACCTCCCCCGGGCCACGGTCTCGGGGCGAACGGCCTCCCCTAGGACCCATTCGGGACTGGTCTTCCCATGGGGACCGTGGGGGCAGCAGAGGCCCTGGCCCGGCTGGCCTCGCCTGGGGGGAGGGGGCAGCGGCCTCCAGGCTTCAGCGCTAGGTTCAGTGCGGGGTCCCAAGCCCCCAGACCAGTTGCGTGAAACTCTTCCCCCACTCCCCGCCACCCACCGAGCTCGGCCCCTAGCCCCGCGGGGACCACACGGCTCCCGCTCAGGGTTGGATTCGGCGCGGAGGCCACAAGGAGGGCGGCCGGGCCCCGGCAGTTACCGGTCCTCCAGGGAGCGCCTCGACATCCCGACTTGCGCGCCGGGGACGCCGGGCTGGGCCAGACGACGCGGGCTCCGAGGGCCCGAACGCGCGGGCAGAGGCGGCAACCGGTGGCCGAAGAGACAGCCCTGTGTCCGCGTTGCTATGGAAGCAGCGCGCCCCGCGATCAGAGGCTGTGTCCGCCCGTGCCACTGGAGCCTGGACGGGCCACGCGGCGGGGACGGAGATGGCGCCGGGGCCCGCCCCGCAGACCCGCCCCCCGCGCTCCGCACCCCGCACCCAGCCCCTCGCGCGCTTGCCCAGAGGCGCAGTGAAGCCTCGCGGAAGCCGGGGCGGCCGCTGCGCCTTGGGCCGTGTAGAGGAGCCGCGCTCACCAGGCACCGGGTGTCCGGGGCTGCTGGGCGACTCTGCGCCCAGGAGAGAAGGCGCCATCTACAGGTGACCCGGAGGGACATGAAAACTCAAGGGCAAGGGGTCCAGTCTCTTCTGCCTGTGCGACACTGAGTCTGAGCTTCCTCGTATCTGCTTCTCTGCCATTCATCTGAAAATGTGACTCTTGGACCTGCCCTTGGAAGGCGCAGTGCGTCCTGCTTTCTCTCGTGGCTCACGGAGTCAGGAAATATTGACTGAGTTCCTCCTTGTGGAAAAGGTTGCGTGAAACCCGGGGATAATACAAAGATGAGAATCAGGAGACCCTGACCCGAAGGGCCCGAGCTGCCTATGGAGACGGGGAAATCTTCCCTCCCGGGACGCTGAGATGGAGGACAGGCACGAGGCTTTGCGCTTTCCTTTAGCACCAGTGTCCTACAGCCCCCGTGGCGGCCTGTACTGCATTTCCAAGTAAAGTCGTGAGGAGCAAATTCAGACTTGATCTACTTGAAGCCACCTCCCCGAGCTCCACTCATGCTTGGCTCCGCCAGGCAGACTTAGGGCCCCTTCCCTGGAAGCCACTTGGTCGTTGTCGTTCTGTCTCCTGATTCTAAACTTTTGAGTTCTTTGAGGCAGAGGGAATGTGATTTTGGTCTTGTATTTCTCAGTGCTTTGTGCTGCTTCATAAACGTTTGTTTTGGACAAAAGGATGTCCTTAGTCCTTTGTTGCTTCTTCTATAAATTCTCCTAGTCTCTCATGTTACTCTTTATCGCCATGCTTTCATTCACCAAATGATCTATTGAATTCTTGGTCCAGGTATTGTGCTGGGCTTTGAGCATGGAGTGGTAGGTAACCCATAGTCACAACGGTCTTTGCTTTTCTAAAGGTCACAGTCATGTGCGAGGAAGGGACACTAATTAAGGAAATATGTGTACAGTTGCAATTGAAGTATGTGTTTCTGTATTTGCTTTTACTGTGTAACAAATAACCAACTTGGTGGCTTACAACCATCTTCAGCTAGCTTGGGATTCTAGGAGTGGGGCTAAGTGGTTCTTCTACTTTGGTTCTGCTCCAGGTTCTTTCCACTGTTCTGGGCAGCTGGCAGCTGGATACCCTAGGCCTTACTCAAATGCCTTGGAGCTGATAGGCTATCAGCTGCAGCAAAATGTTTCTTTTTCTCCAGCAGGGCAGCAGGGACAGCCAATCTTCTCCACACATTTTCAGAGTTCCGAAACAGCAACCCAGGACAAATCTACCTGCACGCGAGCCTTACAAGGCTCTGCCTGTGTCATGTTTATTGATATCCTGTTGGTCAATGCAGGTCACAAGGCCTAGACCAGAGCAGTCACAATGAGAGGGCCTTGGAATTCTTATGGACTCAGGGAGTTGGCAGACAGAGGGGAAGGATTCCTGGCTACTGTTGGAATTTACTACCCAGGGAAGGAAACTGCATGGCAGCAAGAGAGCATATACTCAATATAGAACTTAGGTTTGAACTAGTCAGGGAAGTACTTCAATGAGAAAGTGACATTTGAGCTGAAATCCAAAGAACAGGAAGGAGCTAACTAGTTGAAGGAGTGAAAAAACTGTCCAGAGAAAAGGAAAACATAGGTAAATTGTCTCCTTCCCTCCCCCAACTCCACTCCTGTCTCTACCCAGAATTCCCAATCTCTGCAAATGGCACTATGCTCCAGGTGATAGTTCAAGTCAAAAACCTAGGAATCATCCTTCCTTTTCCCCAGCCACATGGGCAATTCTCATCTGTTCCACCTCCAGAACACATTCAGAATCATTCCTTTTTCATTTCTTCTACATTCCCATCATCCAAGCTACTATCATTCACTCTTACTGCCAACCCTTCTTACTGGTCTCCCCACATCCACAGTTACCCATTGTGCAAATTCAAACATGTAAGTCAGATCCTGTCAACCCTCCAAAACCTCTGTGTGTGCTTAAAATATTTTAAATCCTACTCTAACTTTGGAGGCTGTATCCCATTCCTGCCTGCCCATCTATCTTCTCTTGTTACCCCATTGTGTTGTAGCCACACTATCTCTTTATTTCTAGCATGTGTGTATCTAGCTTATCTCAGGGTCAGTTTTGTGTTTGTTATTCTCCTGCCTGGAATGCTGCTCTTTCAGGTCTTCCCATGGCTGCTTTCTTCTTGTAATACACAGTTATGCTTAAAGACATCTACAGAATGGGTCTTTCTCTGGTCACCAAATGATTATAGCACCTTGCTTTGTTTCCTTGAAGCATGTATCACTCTGTGAAATGAACTTATTTAAAGGCTACTTCTGTCTCTGTCTCCTATGACTACAACTTATCTTCATGAAATTAGGTACTGCCTTGTTCACGATACTCCTAGGACAACTTCAGTGCTTGACTGAACTCAATAGTTAATGGCATTGATCAATGAATAAATCAGAGTGAAATTCCCCATGACAGAGGGAGAAGGGTATGTGAGAGGACATGGAATAAATTTACAAGCCTGGAGTGGAGGTGGTGGCATCATGGTCTAAAATGTAATTAGAGAGTAGGTAAGAGCCAGGTCGTGTAGGACCAGTTTGGAATTTGGTTCTTGTATTTGTGTATACTTTTG